GCATGTCTGCCAAGAATTCTTTCAGAATAAGAAGGAATGATAAGAGAACACGACAAAGAAAAGAAAAAAGTAAAGATTGTGTCGCACTCTGAGCAATCCTTACTTGTCTCTTAGTAATTCCCCTGAGCTGTTTGAGTCATCATCGGTAAGGTGTCTGGAAACATTGGATCAATAAACTGAATTGGTTAATGTGGGGGCGGAAGGAAAATAAGGCTGTAGGAATTCACCCTGCTCCGCTCTAAGGGAGGTATGCGTGTGACCCACGTTGACAAAATCCAGATATTTTTGTCTGCTCTAGGAATTCAAATGTGAAATGTAGGATATTCTCTCAGTAAGTGGAATTTGCTCAAAAAGGTATTTGCTCAAAAAGGTATGAATTTATTAGTATATGGTGGCGACAAAACAATATTATGTACATTACAGAACATCACAATATTTAAATATCTATGTATTGCAATATTCATTGTTCACAAATAAACTTGGACAACAGAAAATAGCTGAAGCTCGTAAAAAGGTCCTTACTTTTGGACAACTTGTCTATTGTGAACAAAACATTAACCCATTTTAAAAAATGCAGGTCTCTGAAATGAAAGTTGAGACAAAATGAGCAAATTGCCATCTACTCAAATTCATTATGCGTATCGCATTGCATAAACACAACAACGTTGTTTGCTTGCATTTGTGGCACTTACAGATGTAGACTAGTTATATACATGGTTCAAAATGATGAATTAAAATTGATGTATGTATTGATCACTGTTCGTAAATTTTATGTTTATCTAGTAGTGCATCTGTAGGCCCATTCATTTAGAGTACGCTCGTACACAAGCAAAATATTTGGTACAAAAATAAGGCGATGCATTTTAAAGTGTGCTTCGTAATGTAGTTAATGTGATGTACAGTACAGTACACACGTATTGTGTAGCGGTTCTATTCAAGCAGCTGTAACGGCCCCAACCATTTACTGTTTCAGCTTTTCATATTCAACCCACGCTCAATCCATTCTCAATACTGCTCTTGATGTACATCACGTCACATTGACTTATTTACTCCAGGCATTTATTGTACCGTGGACATGTACAATCGTGACATTTTAAAGCACACATCCATCAAAGAATGCAGTTCGAAACATCAATACATGTACATGTACCGGTAAGTGCATTTCAAGACATGCACTCAAACTGATGCAGGTACTGAATTTGTCAACCTTTCTGCACAAAGCAAACACTTTGACAAAAGCATGTCTGAAATTTAAAGTTGCTCTTCAACAAATTGGTTTTTGTTTGTTGTTTTTCTAATAAATTTTCAACTTGTTATGTTTATTCCAACCAACAAACCTCCTATTTTCCTTTTTTGGACGTCTGCAAACCCCTCAAGAAAAGATTTTTGTTTTGGGCACAAATTGATCCAGTTTGCGAGCAGACTGGCTCCCATTCTGTTCATTATTGATACTGATGTGGGGCAGGAACCAGCCTGCCCCATGAGAATAGAATTGTCCGGTCACAAATAATTTGAAATTTAAAGTAAAATTCAGTTACTAAACATGGGCTAATTTTTTTGGTCAATGTTTCATTCGAAAGTGAATGACTTTGTATTGGTAAAAAATAGCAAGTTAGAAAAGGAATCTAGTTTTTGAAATGAAAATCGAAAATAGCCTTTGAACACAACTTCAAAACAAAACATTCGTAAAAGAACATTGCTAAGTAATTTTTTTTTTATAAACATTAACTAGGAATCAGTCACAAGCAGTCATGTCAGCATACATAATTTCTGCTAAGCCAAAGTATTTTGTGCTAAGCCAAAATGTGTACAATTGAACAGCTCAACGAAATAGGCCTAACAGTTTCTTACATGTAAGTCTATGTTTTCCAATTATTTTACTTGAAAAACACATTTTACACAAATTGTGTTTTTTTCTTTTGAATATTGTATTGTAATACTATGGTCTTTGGGAAAAGAAAGTTGCAGACCTTGTAAATAAAGAAATGCTTGAATTCTTTGTTTTCAAATTATTTTGTTTGAAAAAACGTATTTTTTACACATTGTGTTTTTTCTTTTGAATATTGTATTGTAATACTCTGGTCTTTAGGAAAAGAAAGTTGCAGACCATGTAAATAAAGAAATGCTTTCTTTGAAAATTTGAACATACCGTGGTAATTAAATTGGAACAAAATGTATTCAACATGTAGGCCTACATAGGCCTATTGCATTCCCACTTTTGCAGCAAAAATTGCAGCATTTTAAAGGATGCAATTTGTACATGTTTGTGTCTGGCTAATTATCATTGATTGTAGAATTGTTGAATCGCTTTAACCCTCCAGGTCCCTTTCACGATAACTATCTCCACAGACCACTAGATCTAATTTGTAGTTCAGGCATGCCCAGTCCTTTACAGCATTACCGTAATTGCTGAATATAAATGGCAAATTTTCTACGGACATTTGGCAAGCCAGGAATAAATGTGCCAGATTGCCAAGATAAGCGTACATCGGCATGGATGCAGAGTCGAGAAATGAGTCCTTTTGCCTCGGGTGCAGTGTCGCTGTGTACTATGCGCATAAAAGCACGTACATGTAATTGTAACCGGCAGAACTGCTCGGTCTGTGTTCTTAAATCATGCAGGAGGAAAAGAAGGAAATTACAACCAAAGTTAGCCATTTAGAAAAAGGTTAAAAGAAAAAAAAAACCTGTTGGAATATTATTACTCCAGACTGAAGCCTTTGAGCAAGCAACCTAGCCAGACTAATGTCATTGTAATTTTGGAGAGACGAGAGCGCGGTCCCGAGTTTCAGGCCCAGAGGAATCTAATTAGATTCGAGCCTTGCGTTTCCCCGGTAAATTTCTCCTCACGATGCCTCAAGGCAGTGCAGGAAGCGCTGTCGCTTAATCTTGTCACATGCTGCTTGCGTTCTTCTGTTTTTGCCTCTTCCTTTTTTTTTCTCTTTTTCTTGGCTTAAAAACGTCAGAGATCTTTTGGAAGCGTAGATATCGATACGTAGCCGTACAGCGTGTAGATGTAAATGAGGGGTCATGCGGCAGTGACATTTATTGAGGGAGAGGAACGGCATTATTTGATTATCAGGGATGGAAACAAAGATGCGCATTACGTTGATGGAACGGGCAGGATTTAAGATGGCATGCGATTAGAAAGTCTCGGGGAGTGAACCGCCCAAAAATGTTGAATGCAATCAAGTTGTAGTATTCAAGAGGGGCCTTGCAGGAATCATAAAAAATACACCATGTGAGACAGGTTTAATTTTGGTATTAAATAAAAGACTTTTGTAATTGCGTCATTTTGTGGACTATTTGTTTGTTATACATGTACAGTAGATTTGTAGGCATGATATTTTGCAGACTTGCATGTAAATCAGGCTTTTTTAATCGTACAGAAAGACTTTATTATCTATTAGACCTGTCATCCAATTTTCAGACTCAAAAAATCACAATATCATCACTAAGAAGATATTGTTATACAAGTAGAAGATTTTGTAGAAAGTTTTGTTTGTTATAAAAATACAGATTAATGTGTTATTACCTAAATTTGTATGATATTCATGTTCCCAATGATTTGCTCTCTCCATTTTCTAGTTACACGTACATTTTGGTCTAATTTGCTTAGTCAAACTGTGTACTGTGACAGGGAGCCTTGGGGCATCCTAAATTAGAAAAAGAAACTTGACACTCTGCGTGTGACAGCTCAAGATTTATTGTGCTGATTTATTTTACCTGAGGAGTTTTTGTTTGAGTTCACTCTTTGAATACAAGTCTTTGCTTCTGTCTTTTACATTCTAGCTTTTCCTACTTTCTAGGGCTGTCCTGAGAATACCGAAAATTTGAATATCTGAAAAGCTTTTTGCCAGTTTGAATATTCGAAAAGATATATGCACGTGCACACACGACTGATGTTATTTTAATTGTAAAGCTGCATTTTGGTTTTTTTGTCAGATGCCACTTTTTCGTCAACGGTAATTTTTTGTCAACAACTTTTTATTGGTCCCATTCTTTTAGCTGGGTAATGTCCCATGACAGTTATGCAGTACCGGTATGTACATGTACATGTACTGCAAAATACTTTAGGGGCCCAAAATATCCATCGCCGCATGAGAATTTTAATCAGCGCGCTTTGTATGCAACTTTTGACCAGCGAGGAAGGCAGCTGCAGCTGATGTGTGTGAGACTTGATCGGTTAGTTTCGAATATTTGAATATTCGGTTAAGTGCAGTTTTGAATTATCGAATACTAAATTATTTAAAAATGGACAGCTTTTCTTTCTTTTATTAGGCCTATATTTTTTTTTAAATTTGTTCATAAAATTGTGATAAAAATATCTGGGCAGATCCATGGTAAAACACTTTACATTTGGAGGGGGTCTTCTGTCAACTCTGTGCTGTTCTATAAAGTTACAGCATTGATTGTGGATTTTTCTCAATGAAGATCCCTTGGAATTAAGTGACTAAACTATATAAAAACAAAAAAAAATTGAGGCCAACAACATTAATTTCTGTTTGTTGGGCAATAATTTTTTTTGTATCAATGGTAACTCACTTTACAAGAAAAGGACTTGCCCAGCATTTGAAAGTTTCCTCATACCGTGCACTGATTGAAAACATCTTTTTAGTGCCCTTACATCACTTCACGTTATTTTGTCTGTCCATCGTTATAAGTTAAACAAAAAATCAATCAAAAAAGTCTTTTCGCATTTATAACTGTATGAACCTTTCTCTCTGCCTTAAACATAAAAACTCACAATAACACATGCATTTTGCATGTAAAGCAAGGTGCCAAACTACCTAAAATCCATAATTTTAGCCCAAAACTAGTTTTTGAGAAAAAAAATGCACTTAACCGTATGAGTTTCGTCCCACTGATCTACATGCATATATATGATCTACATATCTACATATATATGCACAGCTTTTACAAAATTTTACATTCATTGCATCCCTACGATCCATAATTGCTTTAATATTCCATGCATTTTGTATCATACTGGCACATGCACACGTATGCATATTGTATCATTATTCGCTTTAAATAATTCATTTCATATGTAGTGTGTTATTTCAGCGAGGAATGTAATCAGTGTTCTGGATCAAAAATGTCATTACTCTCAAAACGCCATTTGTCACCAACTGATTTTTTTCCCTACCCCAAGTGCATTGTCAACTCTTTCTCATTAGTGATGAGTGCTGTTCATGTACATGGTGATGTGAGTCTATGAATCGAAGGCACAGTAGTGTGCATGCTTGCTCAATTGTAGTAGGCTTTGTCCTGAGGTTGACAATGTAAAATCGTAATTTAAGATCTACCAGTACACGCTTCATAGACAGCAGCAGTCATTTGGGACTGACACAGCACAGTAGTTTCGTGACTAAGCCCCATCTGCTCCCTATTGGTAATATTATTATCAAGCCCCTCCAATGTACAGACCCACCCTATTCAACATGTGGAACGTTCCCGTCAGCGTAATAACCTGTCTGCTATTCTGTCACATCAATCGCCGCGGTGTTTCCCAAGACGCAGCGAGCTACATCAGTTGGATCAGCCGCGCAGTTATTGTTTGGCACGTCAAACAGTGCCGCGCCTGAACCCAAGGTGTTGTTCCGTGTATCAACCTGACGGACTGATGAGGGAAACATGTACATGTAGCAGTTGCTAGATTATCGTATAGATGTAGATGCCTCACTCTGTCTCAACATGTAAGTTTATTATTTGTACGTATGGTTCTTCTACGGCTTTTCTTCTGCCCCCATCACTTATGAGGAGGACAGGGATTGGTGAATTTATGATTAGACATTGGACGTCCCATGGTTTTGTGGATATAAATGTTGAATTGAATTGCGCTTAATTAGAACTTTTATTTACAATGTAAATGCTGCCATTCTTTACAATGTTTAGATGATAAAGTGATAAATTTGTAAATGCATACAGTTGTAATTTAGGAATAAAATTGGCTCCAAATTCAACTGTTCGGGTTTGAAGATTATCATAATATATCATTTAAGATTTAATAGAAAGAAAAAAATCAATGTACATATAATTTCAAGAGGTTTTGCAGTGAATGTGCATGTCATGTACAGTAGATAAAGTACTATGCAGACTACAAATTATTCCAGGTGGCAACTGGAAATGGCTTTTGCATTTAAATTACAGTCATTACTTATAATTAAATGAAATTAGATCAATTAACTGGATCTCGTCCTGAATTTGTGCCAATTTAATGTTGATTCCTGGTTTAACAGTGTGCTACTAGAAGCAGCTTATTTGGAATGCTGCTAAAAAAATTTTTATAAAATGACATACTATATTGCAGAAAATAAACTTTTTTAAATTTAGAATGACTTGCTTTTCTTAAATTATATGAATTTTACTTTAAAAATTAAAAAAACCCAAGACATTTTACAAACAAAATGAAGGTATCAAAATTGAAAAAAATCGAGACAATGAAAATTGAGAAATAGAGTCGAACACCAAATGCACAAACTGTTTTTTTTTGTGTCAGTGAATCTATGACAAGAACAATACAGGCACATAAATTGGACAAAAATTATAAGAAATGTGTTAAATTTACAACTTTCCACTGCATTTGCCCCTTAAAATTAGAGCCAAATATTGTCAGCATTTGTCAAGTCAAAAGTATCCAGTGTTAATTATTTACACATTTCTATCCAGGGCTGACATGTGCCTGACATTACAATATGCTTTTCTAATATTGATGTACAGTTATTGATGATGATGGTCAAATATTAATATCCTACGAGTAAAACTAGTGTGCATGGTGGAAAGGCGATTTCATTTTTAAAAAAATTTTTACATTCAGCTTGCGTGGTTGAAGGTTTTATTTTCGGAATTTTGATATTTTGATACAGCATTTCAGTTGAATAATATAAAACATCATTATTTATTCTTGGTGTAGCTTCATTTTGCATGCATGGCCATTCACGTGAAGAAATGTCAAGGTCATTAACAGCCTTAGAATTTTCATGAATAATCTATTCCGCAGAAATAAAGGGATTATCCACTTCAGAGTCTCAGCTAGTCACCTTCATTCATGCAGTTTTTAACTGGAAATATTGAAAAAAATGTAATTGAGATATGATTTCAAATTTGTGAAATATTTGTTGGCAGAGTGGTGCAGGGATTTTATGAACACAATTTACATGAACATTTCTTTCAAGGGTATGATTAAATTCATGTTCATTTTGTGACACCACAGAGATCGGGTACAGGCAATCCAACAGGTTAAGTCGGTTAGAAAATTCACAAGTCAAATCTCAAGCCAGTGGTCATCATAGCACAGAGAAAGAAACTCGAACCCACGACCTGCTTTCTAGTGCAGACGTCTTACTACTCCATCGACCGCCGAGCTTGCACGATTGGTTGGCAGGTTCGAATTGGCTGTGGCGGCAGGTACTGCCATGAAACTATTCATAAGATCTTGGATTTTGCATCGTGGTGATGCAAATATTTGCCCTTCACCGACAAGAAAGTATATGAACAATAACAAAGCAATGCCTTTGATACTGTTCAGTTGAATACATACATGTAGTAGTTATTGTCACTTGACTTTTTACTGGGTGTGATTGGCTTGTTACATACAACGACAGCCACAGTAGACATTTTGATTTGATAATTCTTACAATGGTGTACATGTACATAGTTTGAAACAATTTATTTCATTCTTTGTCAGTCACAGCACAGGCACTTTAAGTGGTTGTACATACATGTAGCACAGAGTACATGTACATACACAATGTTATCCCATAAGATATAGTATAATCAGTAATTTTGAGATATTGCTCCCTAGATATCCCATGTATAAGTATGCATCATGATCAGCCAGATCAAATTGGTTACAACACACACTGTATATTTATTGTTCTTATCAGTTTCCAACCTCCCTGACAAGTTTGCTGAAAATCTTAGCTTTTTTTCTGGCCTCCAGTAGTGTGATAAAAAACACTAAGCAAATAGTGGCCCATTACATCCAACAGTGTACATGCATGTACACTATCACTAGTATCAGAATCTTACAAGCAGTGATTGACACTTATGAATAGCAAACCGTGGACCTGAACTTGAATTGCTGTTTAGACAGTCAATAGTATATTTGTCCATTTCCCTCGGGTCATTGTGTGTTCTGAAGTCAATTGGACGGTAGACAAATAATCACTGCAAATTATGTATGCCCTTGAGGCCTACTGTACATGTCACAATAAACATGATAGATGTGGTAGACAAACAGACCAACTGCAATTCTGCTGGTATCTGTTTGTGCATTTGTGCCAATTGACAGATAACTCTAAAGCTAGCATCAATTTTAAAGGCACAAGACTAAGTCACAAATATTCATTAGTTTGCTCAGTAAGATGTATACAGTACCTTGTGAATTGTACATGTAAATTAAGCTGGTTTCGGGCAGATGTGGCTTAAAAGTGTCATCTCCAAATTTCCAAGTGAAATAGAAATCGATCCAAAGTCATTAAAAGGTGCCTGTAAATTAACTGAACTATTGGAATATTTTGAAATGAAATTCAAGGGATCTGATAGTTTTTTTTCCATGAATTGTTTCATTTTATGCAGAGAAAGTAGCCAGAACAATGCAGAAGTACATGTAGGCCTAGCGACTACTAGTGACAGAAGGAATATACTGAACAAGATTGCATCAAGTCAACGTTAGTGTGTAGGGGAACAATCATGGGTCGAAAACTGAATTTGGCTCATCTCTCTGAAGGCGAGTGCCGTCAAATTCTGGATGTCATCCAACGAGATTACAGCATCAGACAGAAGGAAAAGGAACGCTTGGTGTAAGTTTCAATTCTGTGTTATTTTGTTTTGATTGTGCTTTTGTTCGTTTGTGTCTTGTCTCTCAAACCATATATTGGTGAAAATGACCAGAAATCAAACAATTGTTTTACCGGGTTTGTAGTCTTTTGTATAAGAGTAATTAAAATAGTTGTACCATTGGTTATCCAAAAAAAATATATCCCCAAAACATTGAAAAAGTGAGAAAAACAAATTTTGATTGCATCACTGATTTTGGAAAAGATTATTTGGAAAAGATTATTTGCAAAAATAATGACTTAATGATTTCATAATTTGTTTTAAAAATAAATAATGACATCGTTAAGTTCATATTTTTACCACACACATTACATTGTACCTTCCAACATCCATACACATTTGTATGAAAGACAATAAGTTCTGCAAATTTTGCACTCTTTATTCTAATCAAATCAAAAATTTTCTCATAATACATGATTTAGCTCGTGGGTCTGGGGGATTAAAAACCCTTCAGGTGATTATTTTCTCGTTCTTTTTCTCCCCGCATCGGAGTAAAAACTATAACTTTAAAAAAAAAGAGAGTTATAATAACCAGTTTATTTTGAAATAAACATCCCCAAATGGATCCTTTATATTGCAGTGCTTTAAAGACTGTCTGTACAAATATTCTCCTGAGCTCTCTAAAGCCGGAAGGCAGAAAGCTTTTAATGTGCGGCAGCAAAATGAGTACTTTTAACCATTGGATCTTATCAAAATATCCTGCGGAAGTCTGTAGATTCCAAGATGTTTCCTAATACTACCCATTACCCACTGTAACTCACTTGGGATTGTCCGCTGTCAGAAGCAAAAACATTAAATTGTTTACGCTAGACTTGAGTGTTTTCATAAGAACCATTTTCTCTCGATTTTGAGAAGACAAGACATAAATCATATTTCCAATATAAATGGAATGTACTTGTCCAGGTATCCAGTGGCAGGAAATGTCCTAAAGCATTTGTACATGTACATACATGTACATGTGTAATCCTTTTTAAGTGATTGTTGCTGGTACATGTGCCGGTGCTGGTACATGTGTGGATGTATTCACAAACCTGCGATCAGCCGCGTTTCTCGGACAGCGTGTCAGACAATAATTGCCTTGGACCAAATTGGTTGTATAATCCCACGGAAAATGAATTTAAATAGTCACTTGATATCATAGGAAGTGACTCAAGTGCTCGGTGGCCCAGTTAACGTAATGTATGCATCTATGGGGATTTTAAAAGTAAGCTCCATTATTTAATTGATGCACAGCAATCGTGTAGAAAATTGCTTGAGTATTTACCGGACAGCTTAGACGTAAAAATGTACTTAGGGTGACTGACAGTGACAGAAGGAAAGAAATCCTCTCTTTCGCACAATAATTTAGACACAAATGCTGTATGTATTTTCTCGTGTTTACCTCATACACTCAAAACAGTTTGAACAAATTATATATTTGTACAACGGCCATATTGTACATCAAAATAAAACTCCTTTTTCCGGTGTGACACGGTCCGTGTTTTTAATTTCATGGAGCTATGGTTTTGTGCACTCTCAAGGGCAAATTTGCAAGTACATTGTACCTTTGTCTTTGGTGTACAAAACAGCACGGACGACAACGCAACAACAATTGCATAGATTTTTCATTGCACTTGTAGGAAAACTTTGTCTGTACTTTACAGAATGCATACTCCCTATTTCTACAAACTGATAGGTGCAATTCTTCGCGTAAGTACAATGTACCCTAAAAGGGAGATTTGGTGGAGACCATTGGGAAAGACATTCTAGCGCATTGTTGATGAGGACTGACACTCACGCAAAGACGTGGTTCTCTGCACATTCACAATATAACAAGTTGTGCGTACTTCGCACCATACGCGTACAAACTATTACACGCACACCGTGTGCTCTAGCTATCCACCAGCTCTTTCAAGAGGTGGTCAACAAGCCTTCTTCTGTTGGTGTTTATACCCATATTTCGATGATTCACAAATCAACTTGTGAATAATTTATACACAGACAGAGCTTCCTTTAGCAATTACCATTCTTGTTATCAGAGAAAAGTAATACCCTGCATACACACCCTACATGTATAGTAATTGAAATTAGTGGGATGCCACTTCTCTGCGGCCCTGACATTACCATAGTTAGCCTTGCTTTGCATTAGGCCTCCGTGCATGGGTATAGACCGACCGCTGATCAATACCAGTGCCCAGAAAAGCTAATGACTCATTACCAAGTTGTGAATCATAGATTCGATTAGCTCAGACTAGGATCCATGGAGGGTTCTGTTTCGTAATTATCAGTAATGGCAATTACATTCAGTGCTTAAAGATACTTGCATGGTTTATTGACGTGTTGTGTCATCAGCAAGATGACTGGCGAAGATCATGTATTAGTCAAATTGTTTGATACATGGAATTATGTCATTGTATAAGTTAGGAAGCCTGGAATTTTTTATCTGCACAGAACTTTGCTCAACAGCACTTCCGGAAAAAAGTAAACATTTTATTGCAATTTGGAATATTTCAGCCGTCAGATTTTTCTTTATCCAAATAGATAACATGATATCAGTAATTCTGATACATCATCCTCAAATCACTTCAGCAATTGTCTGAAGAAAATTCCCTAAATTGCAAATTTAGAGATCTTTCAACTGTAAATACATACTATACTTATGTACAAATTTTACCGAGTTTAATTTTCTCCAATATCAAGCGTCAGTTGATAATCCAATGTTGTTTTCTTACTTATTGTACTTTCTAATTTTTGAGGTACATGTAATTTCTGCTGTTTCATAAATGCTTACCTGCAATTCTTTATCAATTGGTACCTCGATATTCTTTGAAACTATTCATTTGTGAACTTTTGTGCAAATGATGAAGTATAATAATTTTAAAATGAGTTGTACTTTGGCGAGGGTTATTAACCTCAATGTGTTAATTTTACTCAAGAAATCCACAGACTGCAGCCACTCACTTGTAATAACGTCTGATAGCAGGTGTTTCTTACATTGTACTCTGCAAAGCTCAGCCAGTAATCCGTCATCAGAGTCTACTTTATTTGTATCTTCTAAAACCCCCATAGCATTTTGAATATATGGCCGTGTTCCCACTTGTGTTTACTTAAGTATGAGCATCTTGAGTCTAAAAGTACTGTTTCAACAATTCAGTAAGATCAATTTTCCAAAGTGCCCAAAATAACAAACAGGGGGAAATTTGAGATTTGTTGTTTGAGCAGAGGTAAAGCATACAAAAGAGGGATGGGAACCTACATGTAAATGTGAGTGCTGTCAGTTTGATTTGAACACATCTTCAGAACGTCTTCAGTACTTTTGAAAGTGACAAGATATACATGTACCTGTACAAACATGACATTTACGTAAGTGTCTTTTGCATACATACATCCATCAAAGAAGGCCTTGTGAAGATGAACTGCGTAAGTGAGTTTATTAGGACGTACATGCCCAGTTCTGATCAGGAAGATAAGAATTATAGTGTTGGGTTTTGCCATATTGTACCGGTATGCTCAATGCTCTACAAGGATTCATCAAGGTTGCTTGGTTGGAAATTGAAGCCACAGTTTCCTTTTACTGAACAGTTTACTATTAGTACACACATGCATCCATTTTTTTTTTGTGAGTTTGAAGATTCTTAACAAAAAAAACCAAAAAAATTGCCAGTTGATGTAAATTATCATAAGTCAAAAATGAGACGTAAGTCTGCATACATGTTTATGACATATGTTCATGTCATATGATCATGTCATATGATCTTGTCATATGATCATGTCATGCATGTCATGTGATAAAAGTTGAGAGGAAAAAATCTTTGGAGTGCCTTCGTGGGAATGTACTTTTGTCATTTATCCGGTCTTGTTATGCCTGGCTTCTTGAGGACATGTTAAATCACGGAAGCTGAGACAGGCAGAGCAGGTGTTAGGATCTTAACAATGTTAGTATGGATGGATTGTGAGACACTACAAAGACAAGACAGATCCTTAATGGTGACCATGGAGACAAAAGTCTGTCCTCAAATACATTTTGGCACCCACATTTATTTTATTATGATCACCCACATACATTGCAATCTCCAATTTGTCAGATACATACGTGTGTAGCTTGTCTTAATGTGTAATTTTACTTTACAAACAAATTTTAGAGCTACCGGTAACATGTAGATCTTGCAAACTCAATATTTTGAAATCAAAAACAATACTCAGTGTTGCTCTTCCCTGACCAGTGGATAATGAAATTATAAATTGTTAATACAATTATGTGGGCCTTGCAATGGATCAAAGCAAACAGAATGTACGCACAAGATACTTTGTCTGATGTACGTTACGTACATATAGTACGTACATGTACATGTAGTAGCTACCGGTATGCAAGATGTTCAGTAGTTTACATCAACAGATTTTGGACTCATGAAATATACAGTGAAACAAGTGCATTAATGGAAACTATGTAGTTCTCTCACAGATAGGTTCTCACGTACAGTGGTCAAATGTAGAATAAATTTAGTGTGCACATTACATATTCACATACAGATTTATGTGACACATGTGTAGGCCTACTGGTACATGGGTTATGAACATTAACTCTGCAAGTTTATAGGATTTATAGCAGTCTCGATCGTCTGTCCCTTGGTACATATTTAAATGATGAGTCTGTCGTACAGTACTTTACAGTGTAATGTATATCCTGTACGTGTACCCGCATATTACATGTACCCATTACAGTTTAGTACACGTTCCTACATAATTTCCCGCTCAACTGTACGCACACGGAATAGAACTCCCCTTGGCAATGCTCGTGAAATTGCGCATTTGTTGATCAACTTATAAAACCCCTCGTATGTACTCCTTAGAGTGTGTGCGGAAAGTGTAGTCATGCTATGCCCTTTAAATCAATGGGGAAATCAGTGATGAATTTCATTTGTAATGTACGCAGCAGAGTAAAACTTGCGTTGAGGACAAATAATAAATAAAGTGCTGTTTTGGTCATTTTCTAAAATGTGGAGGTCTTGAAGCCGAAGGAGATTTAAAAATATCTTTTGAGTTTGCGACAAAAATTTTGTTTATAGCATGTGCATCAATTACAATTTACCGGTACGTTGTAGCAAAAACTTATTAAAACGTGTTTTAAGGAGAAATAACAATAATTTGTTGTTTTTGACATTTCCTCCAGTTTGAGGTCTTGAAGCCAGAAGAGATTAGAAAACGTCTTTGAATTTGAGACAAAAAATTATCGTACCAGTAGTTTCTCTTGATGAATTGTGTAGCTAAGCATAATTAATGAATTCCATCTAAATAAGGTTTGAGTTAGTCATTTTGCAATTTGTAATTGATTTATTGGTATGAATCTTGAAATGTTTGTGCAGACTACATGGACTTTTCATGTCAACATGTAAATTATTTACAAAATATATGTAGGCCACAATATGTCTGTGCTGTAAGCATCATCCCGTGAAATGTAGAACACAAGGGTAATTTGGCAAAGTACAGATCATTTGTAGATTTACTGTGTGTCTGCAGGTAAAATATAGACTCTCACAGATCGGAAAATGCATGTGTAGCGCAGTCAATCAACCGTGGTTAATGAATAATGCTGGCATGTGTTGCTGAAATTGGACCACGACATGCACCACTTATACGCGCATATATCTGTATAGCTTTCAGAGTATAAAATTACCAAAACTGCCAGCATACATGTATCATGTACCTTAATTCATATCATGCACCATCTGACATTGTCTGTTTCTTTTCAGGTAATTTTTGGTCAAAGTTTTGGGCGACAGATGTTTGTGACTGTTTGTTGGCAGCAGCAAGATTCTTTATTCCCCTAATGAATATAATATTTTTGCACTCTCTGGCATCACAAGATACATAGTTTACAAATGGTAATTGTGGTGTTGAAATTGTCTGTGGCTAAATACCAATGCTACAACAGCTGCAACCAAACCAAAATGTGTACGTACATGTACCGGTAGGCCTACCAAAAGATAATTTTGGGTATAATGCACTGTCAAGGGTCTTCGCCTTTAAGTTAATGTGAAGTACCGGTATGCATCTATAGGAACGTTATACCAAGAGTATACATACCTTCTTATTTTGGAAATGCTGTACTGGTATGTGGTATTAAGTACACTGTAAGACTAGGGATACTGTCAATTGCAATTAAAAGATATTTGTACTATAAGACACGTAGAACGTTGTACATGTAGATCAACACGTACACAATCTTAGATTTGTCCTCATTATGCCATAATGTGCCCACACTCCCAGATGATCTCCTAGTACATCCAGTCTAAGGATTTGGCATGCCCACTTGCTCCATTTCTGTCAACCGAGTCGGTCTTCATGGGCCGATTCACACCAAATGAGATTAAACTACCATCAGGTTTAAGAAGGGTGCGAAAGAGCGATTGTGCGAGACATACGCGAGTGCATGAAGAGTAGGCCCTATTAATAACGTCTGGCTCTGTGAAGTGGAAATGAATTCGCCGTTGATAACTGAATAACTGAATAAGTATAAAACCGAGTATTTCTGCTTGAGTGGCCTGTTTTGCAAATTATCTCCGAGCTTGGATTAGCGATGAGCTGTATCACTGAGGAGGACTGGCAGGCCGTTTGATTTGGGTCACGGCTGAGATCAGGATTGAGTAAGAAAACAAAATGACATGTACCGGAACCGGAACACATACATTTTACTAATACTGTCACTCCTGAGAAAAAAAGAACAGAACAAAAAAGTCTAAAAAAAATCAAACCATCTGTTTGAGATACACTTAATGTGTTTATATTTATCACCAATGTGAATTTTTTTCACAGTTTGAACTATTTTGTTTTTCTTCACTATTTAACACATTGTAGCATCATGTGCAAACCTTCCGGTCCAGTAGTTGAAAATCAGTCATCCGTACTGTCTCCACACCATACATACGTGTGCACCAACCATTGAGGCTCGGGTATAATACATGAGCTTTATCCAAGACGTTTCCCCTGTCGTTTTTCCCCCAGGTCTCCTGTATCATCTGCGACTGTAGGCTTTTTACTGTCATTGCAAGGATATTGCCTTTTCTGTCTTGTCGACCCAGATACAGTGATGACATATGAAGGTTATTACATAGATGTCGTGAGGTATTAGGAGTTGTGCTGCGGGGTAGTGCTTCCAATAATACATTAGTTCCCAAAATGGGGAGCTGTGTTTTGGGAATTGTAACACCCTGGGATGGCATGTCTGGACTAGAGGACAGGATTTCATTCTGCATTTAAATATGTGCCCCTGATTGTTGAAAGGGTGGAGAACATAATTGGGTTGTGATTTCATTATTGCTAGATACAGTAATTACCAGTACATGTACATGTAGGGCAAGGATAAAATACCTTTGTTTCCGGTTACCCCACCAACCTAAATCTGGCGGAACCTTCATATACATGTAGGCCTAAGTCTTATTATTTGAAAATATAATTTTTAAAAAATGCAAAAACTTATGGTCCCCCCCCCCCTCCATAAATGCAGGACAGATCCGCAAAATAAATGTATATGATATATACATTTATTTTGCGGATCTGTCCTGCATTTAAAAAAATGTTTTTTGTAAGTTTGTTGGCAGTGCAGTCTTGCTGTGTGGTGCTGGGAAGCCTACAATTCATGCAAAAAACCCACAAGATTACAATTCAACGAAGCCTACAATTCATAGAAATTTACAAGATGCTTTGTCAACACATCTTACAGCCAAAATAGTTTGCATTTTTAGTCAAAGTTTACTTAAACTTGAAGTTAAATATTTTTATGTTAATACTGTATTGCAACATACAGACTGTGCTCAATTATTATATCATTCCTGATGATCAATACATTGATAAACTGTTACACCCTTAATTAGTGTTTCATGAATTCTCTAAATTCCTTACAGAAAGCTGAAGAAAATTGCCAGATCTGATGCCTGTTCTGCTTTGCCAGTAGTTCTACTGTAGATGGTTTATACATAGTTTGCACCAAGCCAATGCGAATCAGAAACTCAAAAACTTCTTTCTCTTCTTTCTAAACAGAAAGCTACAGAAACTTGTCAAAGATGAGGAGCAGAAGCGCCTGGTCCTGTCACGCCAGAAGCAGTTCAACGAGAAGTACTGCATCTGTTGTTTCTCCTCCTTTGGACTGATCTTCAACAAGCGAGCGGAGTGCAAGAGCTGCGGGTTCTTTGTCTGCCGAGACTGTTCGGTCAAGCCGGAGGGCCACAAGGAGAGCATGTGCCTGGGATGTGATCAACAGAGGTCAGTGGAGAAAGCTCAATGAGGGTACCTTTACATGTAGCTCTAAAAATTGGGAGTCGAATCCATCTCAAGATCACAAGTCCAGTTACAAGACACAGGTCAACTCACAACTCAGGTCGTAAGTGACAGGGAATGAACCTTGACAAACGAATGCCTTTTCACAGTTCATTTGAATAGCTTGTTCTTGACTTGCCCGTTTTGACCTGTGTGAATTTGACCACCTCTGTATTCAGCCAAAGACAACATTTGTTTATGCACTCATCCATAAATTTGGAATTCATGAAGCCCTGCAACACAGTTTAGAAAGTGCATCAGTGCTTGTATCCATTAGGTGAATAGTCACTCAGACGGTTCTCTTTTGAGATCACAAAATCGAATTCACGCCCTTGCACTGAATAATGAATGCAGCTGCAAGTTGTGATCAGCAAGCCAAGTCTAGGCCCACTTTCTGAAATCTCTTAAGATCCAGGCTGCATGTTGCAAAGTCATAAATATTTCAGAATTCCACTGTTTTAACAGAATATACTGTTTTGGAATAGTTTTCTGAACAGCATGATAATTACTGGTGATTGCAAGAAAGTGATGTAAGAGATATGTGAAAAGCTCATTACTGTAAAATAGCATTACACACTTAATTATAAATAAGCCCAAAGGAGTTTGTACCCGATATTGCTGTACCGTCCTTGTCCACTCTCTCTTCACCGGTTGGGATTTTAAAAATTTAATATGGAGGGACAGGTACGGACCTTGAAGAGATGAGCAGTATACATGTAGATCTGAAAAGAGGGCAATGATTCCACAGCCTTACGGTACTTACATGTACGCACATGTAACCAAGACACTGTAAAAACTCTAAAAGGTTCTGTTTTAGTAGGTGGGAAGACCTTGATAAATATTTCGATGAGAAGGTACGTTTCATAGAATCATGGAAGGACAAGATAAGATTTGAAGGTTAATCAAATTTGCATGGTGCAGTCAGCAATAAGAGTAAGTTTAAGTTTGAAGCATGTGACAAGAAATCACATGCCTGACATGTCGGCCTGGGAAGGGTTCGAACGTGAGAAAGGTAAAGAAAAGCTAGATATAAATAAACCCTTTACAAACCTAATGTCTATGATTTACAATTCAGGATGCAGATGTAGATGTGCTTAAACATTGTTTAAGAGAGACAATGAATAAACAAACTACATGTACGTGTACAAGTACCGGTACCTAACAGATAGAAAATTGTTTGAAGTCATTCTTAATGATACTTGAATGGCAAATTACAAGCAGTTAAGGTCCCAAGGACAGGAAAAATGCCACATTTTAGGCCCTAAATTTATAGAATGACCCATATACCGGTAGTATAGATAAAAATATTATCACAAGAAATGGGATCATAATTGAATAGTATCAAAAAGCAAGACCATAACTGGTACATATACACACTGCATGGCAGGAGTGTTGATGCCCAGAATGTATCAAGTAGGCCTAAGTGTTACAAAAAGAAGAAGCAGTGAGATGCTCATCATCAGATACGTGCACAGTGCAAGCTTGTTTATCCAAAAAGCTCCTGGCATATATCGGCCAGTCTCTATTCCCCCAGAGACAGAGTCTCTTTGCCTGGGTTACAAGCTTTTCCGAGCAGTACCGGGGACTGGGACGGGGCTATAAGTGAATTAGACACGACACCTGTGGAAATCTGTTGAGGATTCCCGAGCTGTTCTGCAAGGTTTCTAATTTCTATCACGGAGTCGGGACATGGGGTAGGGGGATGAGGGAACGTGATCAATGGATGTGTTGACTTGCAGAGAGAGTGGTACACTTAGGATATTCCTTATGAAGAGATAAAAAAAGGTGCGGCGTTATAGATTGGTGAAAGGTCTGCAACCTTATTATTGTGACCACCTTTTTTTGGGGGGGGAGGGGGAGGGGGAGGGGGTGTGCAAGAGGATGGGAACATTTCTTATCAAACATGTCAAAAGGGGCCATGTTGGACACTTGCGCATGTTTCAAGATGTCTTCATTTCTTTACTGGTTAAATAAAGTTAACATTTTCAGGAGAGTGTGCCTTGCCTCCTGTTCCCTACCCCCTCCCCATCCCCCTCCCCCAGTCCTGCCAGTACATAATGTACATTTTGTAGATTCTGAAAAATAAATTCAGCGGTACTCTCATGACTTTGAGAATACATTTCTTCTTATATATTGGGTATAAAGTATTGGGTGCTTGAATACTGTAGTTTCATTGGTCTAGAACAGCCACGTGTCCATTCTATTAAAAAGGAAATAGACTCATAATGCACGTTGCACGCCCACGCCCTCGCAACTGATGAGAAAGTTCTTCAACCACAGGAAAGCCTGCAAAAAAAATTATCAAAGGTTACATCGCAGTGATTTCATTTATTTCTCACACAGTAAGTTACAACCAACAAAACAATTGTTGACTGCTGTGTTGTGGGACATGTCGTTTTTTCCCTCCAGGGGAATGGTAGTACCCTATGCATCCCTCGGGTGTTAAAAAGGGCATATCCCACATCACAGCAGTCAATAATTGTTGATTGTGCAATTTATATACCGGTAGCTGCCTAGTCCCAGTTTAATTATAAAGACCATGTGCACATCATGTGCACCAAATTGCTGCCGGCTGGGTTATTCACCCACTCAGTCGCAAACGTTTCGTGGAAAAAACTCATCAAGCTGATTCATCACAGGCGTCATGTGATCAACTTGGCTGCTTCTTGGCAAACATACGGCTGCGATCATATGCTGGCTTACTTTATTGGGTCAAGGATTATGTCGTCTCGAATGATGTCTCGTTTGGAGTTGCGTACGTGCTCTTGTGCAGTGTACCATTTCATTGCAAACACATTGCTTTTGATTGGATTCACTTCGAGCAGGCTATTTTTGGTTTCTCATCAATTTTTTTTCCCGTTTGAAACTCCAAAAAGGGCAGAAAAATAGTCTTTATCCATCTTTTACTTGAACTGGCAATGACAAACATCATCTACATTTAATCGTAGAGCTCTATGTACATGTAGAGCAGTTTTTGGAATGTTCAAGTAAAAAAGTCAAAACCATCAGGAAAATACATTTACTGCAAATGTGAGTACATGTAGCTTGCCCCTTTACAGCAGTTTCTTCCCGAAAGGAAACCCGCTATCTGTAGCGTGCCCCCCTCCCCCCCCCCCCCCCCATCATGCCCACCCCCTCATCTTTGTATCGCTGTCATCTCTAGGGCCGTAGAGCTGGGACCGTGTCAATTCTCGCCCATCGATAAATGTCATTGCCTCAGCTGGACAATTATTGAGCCAAAAGGTCTTTCGCAAAGGCTAAAATGGTCCACATGGTACATAACTACGGTAGCTTGTCATATGGGGAGACACAGGGTTGCTTGTAGTAGAATTGTGAATTTCGTTTCAAATGAGACTTTATGAGGTAAAAAAAATCCATGCACACCGGTACATTTGTACATGTTCACAGTATGTTAAATGTACATCGCTCATTCTGAACAATTTTAGGATACAAAGTGTGACATTTTTCCTGTCCCAGTTACCTTAGTACTTTTGTAATTTGCCATTCAAGTATCATTAAGATTGACTTCAAAGGATTAACATTTGTTGGGTGGATAGTTTGCTATTGCATCAGAATTCAAAAATGGATGATATCAGATGTTTAAGAGGGAAAAAAGTGGTCCCCAAATTTATAGAAATACCCATTTGAACCTATTTTGTTTGCTTTAATAATTGTTCCAGGGAGCTACAGGTCCAGGTGTGTGAGTGGTTCTACGGTCAGATTCGCAATCGCTTCCGTCGCTTTGGCAGTGCAAAAGTGGTTAGATCACTCTACAAGAAGGACAGTCAATCCTGTAAGTATACTCCAGATTTGCTTATGGGCTGCTTTTATGAAAATCACTCTCTCTTTAACCAAAACAAATGAGCAAACAAATGAACAAAAACCACGAAAAAGAAAAACCTAATGAAAAATGAAAAATTGTTCACAACACAATTTGCTGGAAAATGTGCTCAACCTTTGTGAATTTGCACAGAGAATACTTAGCTGTGGAATCAAAAATGTGCTAGTATAAACCAATCTATAAGGCACAACATTGTTGTAGATGAGCTGTTGATTTTATTTTTCCATGTTTTTTTTCCCTTGCTTTTCCTTCATGTCTACAGCTGATAGTGTAGATCACAGTAGCAATGATTCTGGAGTGGACCATGGCCATCAGCTCAGCCCACCAGCCAGGGAGGCACTGAATGAGCAAGCCTCCAAGGCATTCCAGGATACCCTGGAGAAGCAAACTAGTACAGGTGGGTTAACTAATTACCCCTAAAAAAAATTTGCACTACAATCTTAGCATGAAAGCAAACGAGAACTCAAATTTGTGACATCACAAGTTTTTGCGCTGCAAATTTGCAAACGTTGAACACATTGCAACTCCGGCAAATTTCGCAGCGGATGTTTCCTGATGTCAAATTCGCTTTGCGTTTGAGTTTCACTTGGGTTGCCCCAAACAGACTTTGATATTCAGACAACCAAACTTTAGGCTTAAATTTTCCATTGGCTTGACAATGACATCTTTCCAAACATACAACTGCCAATCTTCAAGATGTTTTAGATCAGTGCAGTGCCAGTCTGAAGTTTTCATTGGACGTCGTATACAAGTGTGTCCCTGGACAAATCAGCGGCCATATGTGAGACTAAATTTTGTTTGGGTTTATGCTGTTGACGTTGTTTATTTCCTGTGGAAAAACCAATTGAATTGATTGAACCGATAAAGCCATGACTAGAAACGTAAGAGCTCCATAAAATCGAAATGTACACTTTTTGTGGCATTAGCTTGTGCTGATAAATTAGTGGAGAGAGGGAGACCACGAACCTGTATCACACACAAACACATTTCACATGCAAACAAGAAGAGACAATGTCTTTAAATCATAACACATTTACATGTAAATTGTGTTATGACATACTGTATGCTTTGCTATACTTTGGGGAAATTTCAGTTGAGTGAAAAATTTTGTTTGGATTGACATTATTCATTCCTGAAAGTAATGTAATGGATTGCCCTCTGCATGTCATTTTTCTGGTGCATTATGCATGCTGAATGTGTACCAGAGTATGGATCGGCCTACGGTATTCTCAGCCTAAGGAAGTAGGAATATCCGGCTCCACTCCTTATTCATATTCCCTATTGAAATATCTGTTTCTAGTCTTCCCCTGACTTCTTTTGCATGCAATATTATACCTGAATGATAGCTTTGTAAATTTAGAAATGGAAGAAAATTACGAGGTTTGATTTGATTTTTTTTCCTTTCTGATGACCTCCCATTAGAGCATGCACAACTCTGTAAGCTGTCCCAGGGGTGGTTTTCCAGCATGCAAACACCTAGAGCACATTCTGGGAAGGCAGTTAAAGGCATGTGTATACAAGCAGAATTTTATCCTTGTTGTCTGTCAATTACACTTGGTCTTTTAACTAACCTACATTCTAAAATACCACCTGATGATCCCATATTAACCATTAGCCTGTAGATCTTCTGTGTTTTTGTTTTGTTTTGTTTTTCAATTCTGTGTTTGGTGTACTAAGAACAATAACGGTAAATCGTTGTTTTGCATTCATTATTTTTATTACCATTTACAGCTAACACAGAACTTCTTGGTGTTCCATACAAAGCTTTGCTCGACAGTGAGTTGAAAAGCAGTTCAGTTTGATTACTTTCGAAAAGCAGTTCAGTTTGATTATTTTTGAAAAACCACTCCCCCCTAATTTTTTTTCTCTCAGTTCATATTGCACTTTACGCACATGCAATGCACATTTTCACTTTTGTTTTTCAGTTTTTATTTTCACATTTTGTGGTTTGATTTAATTAGTTAGATAAACTAAAAGTTAGTGTTTGATTTGAAGTAGCAATGTACATAACTGTTCTTCAGACAGGAGTATTTCATCAGCAGACAAGTTTAATTACAGCTTAGCAACTGAATTTCATTAAAAAAACCTTACCCAAAATTATAAATAAACAAAATGAAACCAGTCAGCTCATACATATAGTACGTCCTGCATAATTTTTGTTGTTGTAGAATTAGACCATGTACACGTACCGATACTCTCACCATCACCACCATAGAAGTGACAGTGTGTAATTTAGAGTGTGTAGCTACCGGTAATTTAACAGCCTTGTAATTGTAGTATGTATACGTCTGTTTTGTTCATACACGTACTGGGAACATATTACATAAGTTTCATGGCATCATTCTCAACTTATGCAATGTACATGTATATTGCACATTTTACATGTACGCTTGATTTCATTCATATCAAACATGGTGCATAAGACTACCAATCATGCTTCAACACATTCTGAAGTAATGTATGCTGTGTATCTTATTTGAAAAGATTAAGACAAAGATATTTTTTGTTAGACTTAAGCTCAATGAATTGCCATACGTTTTGCTCGACTACTGGCAATATTGTACATGGACATTATATTATACTCTTTCTACATTAAAAATGACAGCCCTTACTCAATCTTCACACCTACTAGACCCTGACTGGCTGCCCCTCTTCAAGCCTGAGACGATGTCAGTGGCTGTTCAGGCTCCAGAGGACGTCCTGTCTGATGTCCTTGACAGCAGACAAGCACTGGAGGACTTTGTCTTTAACCTCCCACCGGAAGAAGAAGAGCTTGTAAGATTCTTGTGTAGTGATTTTGATGTTCGTTACCCTGGATAATGGCACAGGGTTTGTCAAAAAATATAGCCTGACTGTGTAATATGGCAGTTCATTGCTTATGCTATTTAATTGTGTCAACTCTGAGAACCAAAGCATTATCCTTTGACAGATCATGTGAAACTTTCCCTTGGGATTGAGTTGGATACTTACATGTTCTTGTTAGATGACTCTGAAAGAAGCCTACCAGATTGTGATTTTGTTTAATCAAAAGTACAGAAATTGGGTATAATGTCAGTTTTTGGATATGTAGCTTGTGGTCTTCTGAAGTTTAGACATAACAAATATGTGCCATTAGCTGGTAATGAACATGTGTATAGCATGAGATTTTTCAGAGATTGTCCTAATTTGGTTTCAAGAATGTTGTGGCGACGTTCCAGTGAGCATGTGTGTTAATTGATGTTGTATTTTTCAGTAGATTTATTTTCACCTTTTTTTTTTATTTGTTTGTGAGTCTTGTGTGATGTCAGCCGTGTTTAGTGAGTCAGGTTGAGCTTTTGTTGAGAGTGGTGTGGCGTGTCGTGTGTGCATGAAGCTGGTCTTTTCTTTGCCCTGTACCTCTGGTTCGAATCCACCCAATGCAAATTTTGTGAAATCCCCCATGTATCCCATAAAAGTATACTTTGCCTATTACTTGAACACAAAGCCTGTGTTCAGACTGTTTGTATTTTGATTTCAAGTGACTTTGCTTAGTAGATGCATGCGAATCAAGAATGTGATGTTTGTATCTTTGTTTACCTGTCGGTGGCCAAGACTCTCATGTATAACCTGGTAAGTTGATCATTTCTCCTCAGTTGTTTAATCTTAAAACTCAGGTCTGTAGTTTGAAACGGAAGTGAATTTGCCAATAAGGAATGTTGTTGAATCTGCAGTTGTAATTTTTAAATCATTTAGGCCTATTTGTATACACTTGTAAAAGTGAAAGTACATGTAATTTTTTTATATTGGTAAGAAAGCATGGCAAAGTTGGGTTATTTGCTGTCACCAATTAAAAAAACCTTGAATATTAAGCAAATTTGTTTGGACTAAACTCAGTAAAGATATGATTGGTTCTAAAAAAAAAAAAAAGTCAAATTTTCCCTTTTGGAAACGATGTCATTTACGTGTATAGGAAATCTGAATTTTGCTTCAACAATTACACTTACTGAAATGCGTCAGTTGTCAAGTCAAAAACAGTCAAGTCACAAGTGTATGAGCTTCATTTGGTTGTTTCAAGAGTTTTACAAATTCCACTCAAAATGTAAATTTTAAAGTCTTGTGGATTTCCCCGTACAAATCTGCCCGTGGATATACGTGTATTATGCGAAAAATAATGAGCGGCCCACGCATGCCCTCCGCAGGCAGACCAACGCTGTGTGATTGATGATAAGACGTCTGCAGTGTAGTTTTGGACCTCCTATGAATTAAGAATTAGTCTGGAACCTGTGGCGCCGCCTTATCTTAAATTATTCATCCTAAGGCAAGCATTTTCATGATTTGCCTTATTGATTTATTCTGCATTTGCGTGTACGTCATTACTTCGTGAACAGACGAAAAGCAATGCGGAAACAAAGATTTAGGGAAAAGAAAATACAGAAATATATCGCCATCCAGTTTACAAGAGTGGTCAAAGAAGTGAAAAAGTTTCCAATGCATAATTTCATGAAAAGATCACGTTAGTATCCACAACAACTACAGCAACGACAACATCTTCAAATTGAAGTAGCCATACTGTTTAATAATATGTGTTTACATAGTACAAGTAGTTCCTGTCTCGTTTCCATCAACATGATCAAGAATAAATCAGTTTACTGTATTTGGCATGGGTACTAGAAAATGAAAAATCAGTTAATGTTAAGAAGTTACATGTGTAGATTTTTATATTACTTGCTAAAGAAAAAAAGTTCAAATTGAAATAACCATGGTTTGATTTCTGCCTTCAATAGTTCACAAGTTATTAAGTCATTTGGTTATCTTGCATCCCTGTCTTTTGAAAACTAAGGAAGAATATAGAACATCTTTCAAAAAAGTTTTTTTTGGCTGTAAGAATCTTTATGGGCATGTATCTCCCCTCCACATACTATTCTCCTTATTGAAGGACACGTTATTTGGGTTGTCTTCCTAGCTTTCCCCATTCCTTTCAGTTGCTAGGATAGCCACGGTCGGTAATGTGCCATGTAATTTATGCCCCATTAGAGGTCATCCATCTTGCAAGCTTTGAAGCTAAGCACTACAATGGAACGCCGCTATAATGAACATCGCGGGATCCACAGAAAGTGTTCGTAATAACGATCGTCCGGTATAGCGATTTTGAACCGGTACCCTCTTTTGACCAATAGTGAATTGGCATTTCTCACATCCCGCGGCCGCACGGGGGTGTCCTCACGACACTTTAGCAATGGGTGGTTTTCTCTTTTATTCCTTAGGGAAATAATAGCCATCTATTGCTCTTCAACACGATGTAACCATGGGTGGTTTGGTGTTCGGGAATTAAACATGGCCCAAATAGTGTTGAATACAACCCGTTGGTTTTTTTGTTAATCTGTTGACTTTTTTCCAACAACAATGTTCGGTACGTTTTGTACATTAAAACCGGGAGCCAAGGATGATATTCGGTATAGCCGAATGTTCGGTATAGCGGCGTTCCACTGTATCTCATCTGAGATTTGTGTATAAATCAAACAGTCGTGCAATATCTATCAGTTGATTTTGCGTATGCAGAAAAATGTTTAATGTGTGGTACTCCTGATAATTAGGACAATTTCCTAGATCCTACACCGAATCTTTTTTTGTCATTTCTTGTGATTAAAAATTGTGCAAAGATTAGGATATCAGAGAGTGGAATAAAACAGATTAAATTTCTATGAAATAGCAGTGAAATTGAACATGAAGTACTTTGGATGAAAATTGCTTGTGGGGAAAAAGCCTTGACGTCAGAATTTAAAAGAAAATGAAAAACAGGTCAGCACGTGAGAAAACAAAGAATTGATGAGATCATGAATTGGAAGGAATTGCTGGAAACAGATGAAGTGATAACTAACAAGCTAGAGCAAATGTCATCGGAAACGGCATAAATTCTCAACGACCGGAAATTGATCAGACTAGTCACTTCACATTAAAAGTGAAGAATCCTTAATTCTAGCTCAGGGATGACAATTTGAGGAGATTGTTTTTTGATAATTGCAAAGTTTGCTCATTGCATCTTGTTTGCTTGACAAGATTGATGTTGACGTATGTACTTTGAACCATAAGAGCCTCATAATTTAAGACACTAGCAGGGCTGAAGACATCCTACAAGGATTTACAGTGTATGTGCCCATCCTGTCGACGCCAAACCCTCATGAATTTGGAATGTCATTTGCAGAGGCTCGGCTCAGATGAAGTTGCCAGCATTAGCTTTGTCAGTACAGGAAGTGTGACTAGAATGCTCTGGCTGCATCCGGCCAGGGGACAAAATTGGAAACACTTTAGGACTGTATTGATCCATGCCCGCCTTGCTGAGATGGAGGAGGCATAACTAGATACAACCAAGAACACTTTCGGCTCGCGCTTTGCCTTGTTGTCAAAATTGAACCGTGCCAAATTAAAGGGGGATGTGAGATACGGAAAGACCCTATGAAAAAAAATTACTTGCTGTTAAGATGGTAAAGTAAGATGTATTTAGTCATAGGAGCTCTTTCCTTGTATTGTGGCAGTTTCTACAATTCAGAATTCAAATCTTTTGTTTTCATTAGTAGGGAAATATGATCCCAAATTTACTTGAGTAACCATCTAATTGTAATTCAGGCTTCTGCTATAGGTAGGAACTGATAACATTTTAGGAATACATGTAGTCAAAACTGTACATCCTTCCCTCATAGTAATTTGCATAATGACTTCTGAAATAAGGAGATCAAGAATGCTTCTTGCATGATTGTTAAGTATCGACAGTGTTGCTTTGCCCTTGTACATGTATTTATGTTTTAACTTTTATTTTGTTTAATTTTGCATGCATGTGTTGTGGGATATTGAAGTGCATTGTTAAATTACAATTTTTAAGACTAATTTTCGATAAATATTTTGTTCTCTCTAGGGTAGACGATTAGAGAAGAAGCCTGCACGTCGGCACTCTGGCCCAGAGGTTGTCATTTTGGATCCAGATGGAGAGCCTCTCAGCAAAGCTCAAGACTCCAACCGAAAGGTCCACTTTGGGGAAATACCACCACCAGCCAAATCCAAGGATACCTCCCTGGTATCAGCTGGGGCAGCATACCATGTTCTTTCCCCCATCGAAGAGGTCCTGTCTTCCCCTGAGATAGTTGATAAGTATTCTGATAGCAATGGCAACAACTTAGCAAGAAGTGCTAGTCCGTTGAAGGATAGAGGTAGCATTGATAGACTCTCCCTTGGCGATGATGATAAACGGGCACGGGCAGACTCCTCTAGCTCCATATCGCCTCACGACTGGGATTCGGGAATCCACATGCCCTTGTGTCTCACCCAAGATGGTGGCTGGGAGGTCTCACAAAGCACCTCCTCAGGAACTGATTCCACTGATGGGTCTCAAGTGAGAGACCCAGCAGCTAAGCTAGGGAGTCCCCTACAGAACTTTAAATCAGATTCAGTGGATAGTTTCACAAGCATGAGCCTACCAAGTCTAGATGCTAATGACACTTTAGATAGCTTGGAAACCCACTATAACTCGATCCATAGCGACACCAACACTCCAGAAGTCACTGATGAATATGTGTCCAGCAGCAGCACTCTTGTCGAAAACCAAAGTGTGAATGAGGACAATGATGATGGTGTGAACTATGTTGGAATTGAAATCGAGCAGTTGACCTTGTCTCGAAGCTCCAGCGAGGAGACCCTGAAGACAGATGATGAGGATGACCTGGATGGCAAAGTTGGGGATCTGACCATGGAAGAGTTTTTACATCAGCTGACGCACCTCTCTCTGTCAGAGATTAGTGAGGATGCTGAGGACCTCAACCAAGATGCAGGAGAGATCTTGGATGTGCAGGATGCGAGCCCATCACTGACGGAGGAAACAAGCCTAGCATCCTCCAACGAGGATTCCAAACAGGATGAGATTGGAAGTCTTAGCCAGAGGATGAAGATTGCTGAAGAGATCCAGCCGTTACTTGCTGAGGAGGAGGAAGACTCAGAACTGGCAAAAAATGTCTCTGTAGACACTCTAGTATTGGAAGCACAACAGAAGGAGGAAAGGTGTCAGGACTCCTTAAAAGTTGAACCTAAGAAACAAGCAGAGAGTGAGGAGAAGCATTTCAAGTGTACAAAAAGTCACCACCACCATTCTAGCAGGTCACATGTTCACGATTCTACAGCCAGGGGTAAAAATCCCTACAAGAGGTCAAAATCTAATGATGATTTCATTTTGTCGGGGAGATCAGGGGATGGTAGGAGTAAGTCCAATGGGAGTAAAAGCCATCGGAGAGATGGGGAACCTGCCATGAAGTGTACCAAAGAGTCCCATCATCATGGCAAGCATCATGAGAGGTCACCGTCCAATCGCTTTATTCGTTATGACTCGCTCCCTCTGGTGGTGGAAGTCTTTGAAGCAGAGGGCAGCTACCACTGGCATCATAGTCACCGAGACTTCCGGCAGTTCTCACGCGAGTCTGACAGCAATGACAGTGAGCCGTCCAACCAAGTAGCATCTAAGACCAGCAGGTCAGGTGCAAAACTGGTCCGAGCAGCTCATCTCTCTCCTAAGTCCTCTTATGAGGAGGACCCCAGCCAGTCCAGACAACTCTCAATAGAGTCCACCACAACAGAGGACACAATGCCAAAGAGCACATCCCAGTCTTCAGGCCCTACCACACCAGAGTCTCGCAGAGACAGCCAGCAGTTGGCTGGAATGTCCTCGGAGGATAGCAGCAGGGAAGAGCAATGCTCCCCGGACAAGCCACTCCACTACTCCCCAACAGAGCAGAGCAGTGGTTTACAGAGTAGGCTAAGTCTTAGTCAACCCAAGCCTACCTCCTTGGACTACGGAGGCAAGGAAAGGAACATCCAGGAAACCATTGCTTCATTACAATCTTCTACTCAAGGAGAAAACACTTTAATTAGTTCAGGGAATGCTAAGAAAGATGAACAGACAGTTGGATGTCATCCTGACCGAAGTACAATTCAAGGTAAATTTCTTGGCAGTGCTTCTTCCTCAGACAGTCAGACTAGTCAGAAAACTTCTAAGGAGCTTCAGTCCCCGCAACTCTCACCCCGTGCTATGCCAAACCAGGCGTCACCTCTCACATCCCCTTCACAGCTTCATTCCCTGGAATCTCTACTGCGGCTCTCTCCCTCTACTCCGCCGACCCAACTCTCACCGGGAGGTTCCCCACTGACCACCCCAAAAAGGATGGCTTCCTTGAGAAAGGACATTCAAGAGCTTGCCAACCTGAGCAAGAAGGTGTCCATCACTCAGGAGGAGATGCTACAGTCTGCTGAGGAGGTTCTAACATCGGCTCATAAGGTATATCCAAAACCTGGGGGAAAACCCTTATTTTTTAACAAAGTGCTTAATCCTTGCATTACTTTAATTAACCATCCAAAATGCTTCTTTATTCATTTAAAGAGAATGCTCTATGTTTATTGGCTTGACCATGTTGACACTACCAAAGGGGGAAGCTGCCACACACTTCAAACGCATGTAATCTGAGAAGCAACTGAGCACCCTCCAAATCACTCCATCTGGAGACTTTAATTTGCCGATCCCTCATCCTCCAGTCCACTCCACTTGGATTTTATTGGCGTGTCTAGCTCTGTGCTGACTTGTTGGTTCTGTAACCTTTTTTCCCCTGATAAGGTCTAATTTGTCTGAGGGGTTTGTTTTGTTATCCAACAGATGTCCAACATTCAGACTCAAGTAGAGGAACTGGAGGATGTTTTGGACAGTTTAGAGAGGACAGTCATTGGGGAGTCATCATCGTTGTATGGAAGCAGTAGCAGTGAGAACGAAGACTCTGTGGTTGGCCCACAGGTAGATGCTTCAGTATTCAGAGTTGTAAACAAGTCAATCACAAGCCAATTACAAGCCAATTACAAGTCAATCACAAGCCAATTATAAGCCAATTACAAGCCAATCACAAGTTAATCACAAGTGATTTTCAAGTAAACTTACAAGCCAATGGCAACTCGATCATAAGCCAATCACAAGTGAATCACAACTTGAATCCTAGTCAGTAACAAGCCAATCACAAGTTACTCACTAGTCAATCACAAATCAATCACAAATCAGACACTAGACAATTCACACTTCGCAGCACAAGTGAGGTCACAGTAACAGAAAAAACTCTTGTCCTTTTTTACAGGAGCAAGTTGTGGAAGATATGCAGTTGCTGGAGAAACAGCTTGCCAGCTCACATACAGACAACGCTCCATCAGAAGTGAGTGAAACCTTTGAGATGACAATAGGGAATTGGGTCCACTTTTTCGGCATGTTCTGTTGGAAGTGATACTTAGGTATATTTTGCTTTTGAATAAAATCATTTTTCGTGATAGAAGAGATATCTTAATCTCTGTTTTTGTATCTGTTTGTTGATTTGTCAGACCAACTCAGCAACAGCTGTGCGCATGATCACTGCAACTGCTCTGAAACTCCTTGGTACGACAGAAGATGCCATGGAATCCCACAGTGCGAGTCTTGCCTCCCCGACACCTCAGACTGATGCCAGCTCTCGGACCAAGAACACTGTCAGTGAGGGATTAGGGCAGGAGACCTGCGGAGAAAAAACTCCTGGAGAGACTGGAGAACAAGAAGTTGGACTACGAGACTCGCAGAGTCTTAGTCGGGGAAGCTCCGAGGAAGAAGAGATGTGTGCTTGCTCATCCACTGACGGAAGCCGTCCCAGTTCACTGACTCTTGACGATGCACTGACAAGAAATCCCTGCCACTCCCAGAACCCTGGTCAGCAATTTGATGGGGGCTTGGAGTCCCAAACGGTGCCTCCCAAGCCTGAGAAGTCCAGAAATCCAACCCTCCATGGTGTTGCATTTCTGCACCTGCACCCTGGTCAGGATTCACCACCCATAGCCACGCTGATGTGCGAGATGGAAGAAAACGTCAGAAACGGAAACGGCATCAGCGCCGCCGGTAGCCCATTTAAAAATGGCGACAGCACAATGCTGGATGAGGCGGCTTGCAAACAGACATCACCCCGTAGTCTTTCTGTTGACAGTTGCAGTGACTTGGCCTTTGACCTCGAGGGAAGTTTCGACAAGGACAAAGCAGCTGAGAGGAGGAGGCGGAAGGAGAGGAAGTTGAGAAAGTCCAGTGGTTACAATGCATCCCCCACGAGGGAGCAAGAGATTGATTCATTGTTGTACAATCAGATGGCAGACTTGGAGGAGAAGGTAAATGCCACTGTCTGCATATGTGTGTACATGTATGAGTGTACCTCAGTACGTACCTACCTTTTAAATTCAGTCCATGCATGTGAAAGGAGCAAGCCGTTATATTTCAACCCAACAGTGCACACACCTGTGACTCACGTCATGGAGCTGTATAAATAAACGTGACTTCTATATGTACGTGTAGAGCATCCCTGCTTTTATTTGTGACGTGCACGCAAGATTTCAAAGTGGTAAATTTTTTTGTTTTGTAGAAGTGGTTTTTTTTTTTCAATTTTGCATTCTGTTTCAGATATGTGGCTTTTGTTACAAATTGTTTGCATGTTTATTTATTTTCCAGTGTGATTATGCTTCATAGCTGGATGTGTGTGTTGTTTGTGCAATTGCAGTTATCTCAAAAGATAGATGTTAACCTGCTTGAGAGATTTTACCCCATGGAAAACAACTTCAAAAAAATGAGACGAAAAAACTACAAGAACAATTTTTGTTATTTTTATCAAGTTATGTAGATATAACATGTATGTTGTAAAAAATAACAGTTTTTAGTTTGCATGATTTCAGTACTTCTATTTTCCCCATCTTGATACTGGATCGCTTGTTTAATAAATGATACAGTAATGTGCATGGCTGTGTGTAGAGTCTGTGCTTTTCTTTACATTGTTGTGTCATATTTAATTCTTTTACTTACGAGTGATTAAAAGGTACTCAAAAGTTATGCATGTGATGCATTGTATCTGTCTATAGTGTTTAGTACCAGTTCCAGCTATAGTTTCCAAATCAGCTGATTGGTTGAATTAAGAACTTTTCCACAGTACTGCATTTTCATTCGTTGACTGTTTCTCACCCGACCTCCTTCGCCCGCACTGATTGGTGGACAGGTTTACCTGTCTGCTGGTAAGGTCTTCACCTTGGAGGAGCGGTTGCAGCAACTTCAGGAACGGGTCAGTCAGGTTGATAGGACCTCGCCCGAGGAGAACATTGTGGATTTGGAAGATAAGATTGCCTTGACTATGGCTCAAGTTGCGCAGAGTGAGAATCAGGTAACACAAAGCTTCAAAAACAGTCCTCTTGTGTTCCCATTGAAAGTTTGGTATCCACGTACATGTTTATCCTATCAATGTGTACATTTAGTACATCTACTTGTTCTCATACCCCTGCATCAGTGTTTTTCACAGTTATCATTGTGAGAAGTCATCTGAAACAGGATTTAAACCGTCCTCTTCCTGAACACTCAATCTATAAGTGTCTCTGTTCAGTAGGTCATCTTCCAAGTCATAAAGGATTGTAGGGGGAATTGTGTTCCTTTTTCCCAATCCCTACTGGGATTTTCCCACCTGTCTTTTTTACAGTGTGCCCTTTAACCAGTTCGTGCCGGGATTATTTTGACATTGACCGGACTGAGGTGCAGTATTGGTTTTCGTAAACCTTGATGCCAGATGGGTTCAGGCCGTCATCTGCGGGTAGCACACAGATATTTCCAGCCTCGCTTGTTGCGAGCGGGAAGGACACAGATATTTCTGGCCTCCCTCGTTGCGTGTTTATCCTTCATACGTTCCGAATACCACAAAACCTTTGCGCATGCACACCCAATCCGACGCGAACTGGTTCATGTGTGTTAACGATCTGCTGTTTAATAGCAAAGTTGTGGTGGTTGTTTTACGAGTGTATGGATTTTGTCCCTGGAGAATAAAGTTGGATGAGCCAAGAGGTTTGGGTTCATGAATTGTTGAGAAGATGAGGCTTTCAGTGGAAAGTCTCAGTGATGAATGGAGAAAGGATGTGTAGGGCAATGAAAAGGAAAACAAAGAAAGTGCAAAAAAATTGGCAAGAAAATGAATGAATGGAAATGAAAGAAATGTAAAATCAGGAACCAGAGCTGTAAAAATATTAAGAAACTTGGATTGAATGCTGAATTTAAAGGGAATAGAGGAATTTAGGCATATATTATGTATTTTTCTGTTGCACTTATTACATGTGTTATTTAAACAAACGCAGCCCTTATCATGCATTTTGGTTTATTCCCACCATGTTTAGGTCAGGGCAGTAGAGGCACAGATAGAAGCCTTGCAACGCTCCAGAGAATCAACAATGGACATCAGTCAGTTCAGTACAGTCTCAGTGGCAATGTGTGACCTCGCAAGCCCAGGTAAAGAGAACTTTGAACTGTAAATCTTGAGATATTCCTTTGCATTGTGCCACCATTAACATTTTCCACATGTATTCAAGTATTGAGTTTATGAAGATGTGAACATTGTCTGTCATGTGGTTAAACAAAAGCCTCTCCCATCCTTCAAACCCAATAGGACATCTTACAATGTAAGAGGACTTTGCAGGATTGAGGAAGGTACAGCGTTTAAGTACAAAAAAGTGCCGGGTTTTCTTTACTGGTGGATTTGGGAAGAATTCGTAAAGGCTCCTTGCAAAATAACATAAGAGTTAATTTTTGTTATTCCAATATGATTTTTGAAGCCACCTTACATGCAGGGTTTTTCTTTGGTCAGCATGCATTGTATTTTTTATTATTGTATATATATGTGTAATCTTGTTCAGTTCTTGTTTTCCTGTACATTACAGATATTGAGCTTGTATCTTTTGTTGTTGGTTTAGTTATGTTTATTTTTGTTTTTGTGTGTTTGCATGCTTTGATTATTTCTTTGAACAGAGAGGTACAACCCGTATGCTTACCGCTACGGGTCCTCGGTGCAAATTCAGATCCCACGCGAACGAGTCGATAGCCCCGAAGATTTTGTCATGGAGGTATCCCAGCCGAACCCTGAGTACAATAACAACAAGGATGGGATGGAGGTTGAGAGGGAGGAGGTTGAGCTTGAGATGGGGATAACGAGCGATGAGGGCGTGGCAGTGAACGGCGGACAGACGGAGCCGTTTGGCGTGGAGCGTTGCGCGGTCTCGCTTGAACTGCGACCGATCAACGCTGTCATCGTCCGATATCTCCAGGAAGGCGACGATGATAGTCTCTGGCCTGATTTCCGCTTCCACCGTAATAAACCCAGACTGAAGCATGCCGGAGGTGACATGGGTTGAATGTGGTCTGGGGGAAAGGTTTTACTCACTGAGCACGCGCATATTCGCAAGGCACCTCATCCTCAAGTAGCTGATCAAAATCATCCAGTCAACAAAATCATCCCGTCAAGAGTAGATGCTCGTGGAGCAGTTTTGTATCACGTCTTTACATAGATTACCCAAAATTACTAACAGGTTTGCACTAAACTTTTGTTCCAGTTTAAGGGCTGTTTGCATCTCATTTGCACCGTATCATCATAATTAACTTGTCCGTTTCTTTTACAGGTATCCACTCATCCCTTTCATGTTCAGTTTCTATAAAAATAAAGACAACAAAAGAATCTACATGTATGAGAAGTTTGATCAAGGACCAGCCATCCATAGAGATTAATGCTCGTATTAAACTTTACCTTGCTGTCCCCCCCCCCCTCCTTAGTGTGGTACGATTCATACATTGCACACATTGCTGTTGAAAAACATTTTTAGAAGTTAGTCCCCAAATAATCTACTAGACTTGGCCGTTCATTTCGTTGACTCCATGCACTTGCTAATACAACATAATACTTTATTTGATCAAACTTGTCATTGACATATTACGTACATGTAAGATCCATGACAATGGATCACACTACTCAACAAGAACCAATCCAGCAGTTTGCACTAAATACGGCTGAGCTTTTATGCCCGTTTTGTGTATCTGATGAACCATTTCTGTGTCTACTCTACATACAGGACATAATTTTCATTCATTTGAAAACCACAGGAGTTTGCTGCACCAATGATTATTGGTGCAGTGTGTGTACTTTCCATCCACAGCAAAGTGGCAACAGTAGCGTGCTCATGTTTGTTATTACTAATCCCATTTGGTATAATTAGTGGTAATTAATGCCTTGGATGTATCAGCATGATGTTTACTAAGAAATAACACCATTTGGAATGGGGGAATGAGATGGAATAACTCATTTTGGGTAGAAGCCTCCAGCACTGCAAGAAATCATTTGCACCCATATTTAAGCCTTAAAAATGTACTTTTGAGATAAAAGAAAATTATTAACACATGATCCTCTTAAAGAAGTTCAGCTTCTCCCGTGTAAAAAAAATATGCCTTTTGCTCATGTGTGACATTGCATTATTTTCCCCTTGCATTTCAATTTTCAAATGGAGTTTTCTTACCCTTGATAACTAAAATAAACTTGATAAAAAAAACATGTGCAATAGGCAATTTCACCTCTGCTGTCTTGTAATGAAACAAGACACTGTTGTCAATACTTTGTGTTTTCATTTTTTGGCAGAGAAAAAACTCAAACTGGATGAAGATGTCGCTAATGGTCACCATAGCAATGAGTTGAACTCGGAGGTAAGCAGAAGTGGTAGGGAATTTTGTTTTACATTAATCTGGTCATCGTTTCATTGGTCAGCATAACCAGGTTACACTCTACTATTCCCTGATGTGATTGGTCCATGGTGTTTTGTCTCAAGGGTGGCAAATTATAGCTAAAGCAAGGCTTAAGGAGCCATTCACTGTATCACGTGTACAACAGAAAACAATCAGTGTGTTGTTATCTATTATTTTGTTATGGTGTACATCCGATTGTCATACATGAACTTCTGAAATATGCAATGTGAACAGTTAACTATTAGCATATGAAATTCAATAGTTAATTATGTTGCATTCATCAATGTTAACAAACCTTAAGTCTCTTATATATACCTGTACCTGTCTTCTATTAGGGGAACGAACGGCACATATCCACCCTTGAATTGTCCCTGGACTACCCAGATGAACCAGTCGCAACTCCTGGTAAGACATGAATTCTCTTGATTTTCACTCGGGTTGTAATCAAGTCAATTACAAATCAATCACAAGCCCATCACAAGGCAATCACAAGTCAAGTGACATGTCAGGTCACTAGTTACAAGGAACGAACAATAGCAAAGGAATGCCTTTGTCATAATTCAGTTTAATAGATTGTGACTTCACTTGAGATGGGTTGACACGTGATTAGCTTGTGATAGGCTTGTGATTGACTTGTGATGGGCTTGATGGGCTTATGACTGGCTTGTGACAGGCTTGTGATTGCCTTGTGATGGGCTTGTAATTGATTTGTGATTGACTTGTGGTGGGCTTGTGACTGCCTTGTGATGGGCCTGTGACTGAATTGTGATTAGCTTGTCATGGGCTTGTGATTGCCTTGTGATGGGCTTGTGACTGAATTGTGATTGGCTTGTCATGGGCTTGTGATTGGCTTGTCATGGGCTTGTGATTGACTTGATTACATATCTAGCTCACTTTTCTTTCTATGCTTTCCTACTAACTGCTTCCCCTGTGTTTTATTTTCTTTTTTCTTTGTCAGATGGACAGCCAGAAGTGAGCGTATCCATTCCAGTAAATGAAATTGAGGAGATTTTGCAGGTGTAATAGACATATCCTGCAATCACGGGAGAGCCACACATCAACTGGAGTCTACCTGCTGCTGACTTGTAAGATATTTGAAACACAAAAGGGCATTTCAAAAATGTATCACCAAGATGCGCACAGTGACAGGGATAAACATTACCATGAATTGAAGGTTATATAGATACACTGTAGCAAAGTATCTGGGAGATACCTGCGCACACTAACTGTGTCGTCTGTGTGCACAAACTCCAGAGGGCGCAGTGTCACAAAATTTGAAGTTTGGTGCAAAGTGATTTGTCCGAAACTTCTATGGTCAAGCCGAGTTGTTAGATTGGCCCCTTGGACATCACCGAAAGAATTAGAAGAAGGAACTCTATTTTGAGTTCATTGGAGGTGCTGACTGCAAGCAACATTAAGTGCTGCGGAAATGTTCTATATAAACTTGACAATTTAATTCTTGACAAAAGAATTTGTTTCTGGCTACAGAAAAGCCAGAAACGAGTCGGGAACGCAGTTGTATGTGCATTGCAGGGAGCTTCTGTCAGTAGCAGGATGCATCAACGAAAGCATGGGATCGACCATGACCAGATCTACGTCTGAAAGTGGTGTTCGCATTTGTGGAGGTTCCTTCACGACATTGTTGACATCGGGTAATGCACAGAATGAAGCACTGTGGAAAATAAGAAACTCATTTTTAAGCAAGCCTGACCATTTGGTTGACTTGTGATGGGGGTACCTAGCTGCACCTTGCATGCTGATGTCGTAGTGCAGACAATGCCTAGTCAATTTAAGTTTGAACATCATCACTAAAACTCATGGTCCTGGCACCCTGCAATATGGTAACCAGTGATGTGATGGACCTCCGTGGGCTGATCCTGAATAGATGACCAAGCAAATCAAACTATCGTCACCTTGCATGCATTTTTATGAAAGTTTGTCCGAATCAAATTTTACCACAGTTCTTTGCCATACTTGTTTAACGCTGTCTGTTCCAAACGACTGTGAAATTTGACCTCTTCAGAAACTATATACATGTTACATGTAATGTTACCTAATTGCCATACAACTCTATAAAACATTCCAGCTGTACAAGATTCACATATATTTCAGGTAAATAAATAAACATTCGAAAGCCACCACCTGTACATATACATACAAGTAATGCAAGTATATTTAATATGGAGTTAAAAAAAAATATGTTCTTTAAAAGTCTTTCATGCATGATAAGTTTGGTGAAAGTAAAAATTTGCATGACATGTTTTTAGCTGCATCATTGTAAAAATGTTTGTACTGGTGTATAAGGCACTTGCCGTATTTGATTTGTGAAACTCTCAATACAGCAAATTTTAAAACTAAAAACAAGTTCTAGTTCCACATTACTTTGCAAATGTACATTCCCTCCAGTGATTGGTCTTTATGCATAAGTATCACGCATGCATTTATTTTGTAAACGTATTTCATACTTTGTATTTCAATTTTCAATTTATTTGAGCACGTTTATTTTACTCAGTTATGCAAATCTATTTGTTTTTTGGTTTGCAGTAGTACACACTCATGCAATTTCTTTTTTCCCAGTTTGTTACTAGTCAAATTTATTTTTATCATGCATAATGATTATGGATATGTGCAAATGAGAGGGTGTTTTGTAAATTATTGGAATTTGTCAAAAAGAGGAATTTCATAGTGTTAATTACATGCTGTTGTAATGTTTACTCATATATGTGTATACATGTGTATATACACTTATTTAAAGCAGTTACGCTCTTTAACACAATGCAAAATATGGTGTAATGTCAACAACAACAAAAAAGCAGCCTATAGTCCAGTTCATAAGAGCAAGTGCAAATTAATTTCACTGTGAAGTTCCTTAGAGTTTAAGTTTGCCAATTTACAGCGTAAAATGTTTTGCCAATAAGTTGGAAAATTAATAGTTTAAAAAAATGTCGTATGACGTGTTTGTATTGATAAAAAAAGTAATCACTGTGATCTTTAAAAAAAGATGTCTTTTTATATTAAACGGTAAAAAAAAATGATAATCACCATTGTCAGTTGAAAGTAAATTAATATCTGATTTTGATTTACATTTTTATTTTCATCTTGTTGTCACCCACCAAACTCATAGAATGATAAAAACAAAAATTGTAAAAAGAAAATTCTCCTTGCCAATATCTTAATAACCTAACTATTCTGAACCTTTTTAATAGATTACAATTATATTCTACATATATAACCATTTAATGCAAGCTATCTTACATAGCAGTATCAGTGCTATATTTAGACTACAGTATATATTTCAGTGTAAAAATAGATGTTACTGTGTATAGTATTTATTTATAGAGTTACAGGAACCAGTGTGGAAACATTCATTAAAGAACATTAACAAGGTTTTTATTGACAAAAAGAAAAGCTTTCAAGACCAAATGAGGGAAATCTAGAAGTACTTGAAAACTGTTTATGTATACGGAAACGTTTAAAAAATATTTTATTTTACGATTATTTTCCCTTCAGAAATTCAGTAGCTAGGACGAGATGGGCATTGAATTGAAGCTTTGTATTTCAAGTAACAGATAAAGGGTCTTTCTGTAGTTTCTGTTCAAAATAAGGCGCTATCAAAATTGAAACATAAATGTGGTTGCAGTCACTAAAACATTTTACTGTTTTCTTTCTCAAAAATATTTATTAGAAGTTGAATTTCTACGATTGGGTTTTGATATGTCCTGAAATCAAATCTGTAATTATGCCGTGAATTTTTTTTTTAAATGAATGTATTTTTAAATTTTGGGATCGACTTGAAAAACCATTGATTCTTTTTAGTGAAATTTCTTTTAAATGTACAACTCAATAAGTGTAAAGTCGTTAATTGAATCTTATAAAATGAAATAAATTGGTCAATTCAGTTAGTTAATCTTTGAACCTAGTACTGAGTCAATCAATCTAGTATTGATCATTTATGAGGCCGAAAGATTCAAATATGTAATGTGCAGATTTTTACAATAGGTTTCTCGACTTGAATGTATTTACTTTAAATCACACTAAACACCACTTGTCCTTTAGATTTAAACTCAATTTTGTTTGTGTTCAAATTGAAGCTACAGTAACATGAACATGTACATGCATTCTAAGGCAGCTGTCAACAAATGTGAGTAATTATTGAATTGCTGTTTCCTACGAAATTAAAAAAACATTAAGACATTTTTTCCCAGTCAATTATAGTTGTTTGTTTGCCACCTGTGTTTAATTTTATCAAGAGTTATGCCTCAGATTAATTTTGATAGTAAGATTGTCAAGAGAGAAGTGAGTAAAGTCTTGCAATGTGTGGAGTTTACTTTTGTATAGTGACAGTGCCAGTTGGGTTGACATCAAGTCATTTTCAAGTAGTGTTCAAGTTCATCTTATTTGACAATGAGAGTTATGTATACATTTGTATTTACATTTCTGTCCAATAACAAGTTGTTTGTTGGAATTAAACACACAAATAAATAACTAAAGACAGAAGTGTTAAGAGCCTTCCAAAACGTGTCACTGAAAAAAAGAAACTCAAACGTGCCATATGTGAATTTTAGCAACTTGTATTTTGACAAAATATGAATAATGAGGGACTCAAAGACTTGATAATGCTGATTAATGTGTGTACAGCACATGAGCCTTTTTTAGATAATTGGCCGACGGAATAGGAGGGCGCTATTTGCAGCGAGTAAATTTGGTTTCTAAAATACACAAGACTTTGTCCACTGAAAATTGCTCTCTCCTGATGTGTCCACCACATCTAAATAAAAAAGCTGATGAGCTGCAATTGTTGAGTGTAGATTCAGATTACATTTGTAGTAACCATATCAGGACCGAAGATTATAAGCCGAACGATAAGAGGCTTTACACTGGGTTATGTAACACAAAAACAAACAGAGGAAGAATAGATATTACGCATAGCAGCCATCTTAGAGGGCATCGATTCACTTGTGCATATATCCCGGCAAAACAAAGGAATTGCCTACTAAGATGGCTGCTACAAGGTCTGTTTAGTATAGAGAAGACGTGTAGAATGTTAAGAAGCTTTAGTGTAGTTGACTAGAAATCCAGAGGAGCAAGTTATTTTATTCCATGTATATTGTGAAAAAAATTTGCATCTGAAAAATTTGCATTTGCACAGACATTGGATTTAAACGTGAAATGCAATAAGAATATGGATGAAAGGGAATAAAAAGGAAAATGATCGGAGTAATACTAAAATGTTCTTGTGTTTTGACATGTTCTGGAGTGGTTGAGTCGAAGTCAAGATTATATACGATAAAATTACAGTACATGTACACTCAAATGAAATTGTCTCGGTCAAAACTCGGTTTGCTTGAATGATTGGCATTTATTGTGCTATTTCATACAAATATAACTACATAACCTAAATAAACTTGCATAAACCTTTCTGCAAACACAAATTCTGATTTCACACAAGATGGAATAGTTCAAAATACCGTTATTCTGAAATAGAAGTTCTCGGAGTAAAAAAAGCACACAAATATAGTGAATACATGTATATTTTTACATGTACATTGTACATGTACTAGGACGGAGAGTTCACACATATAAAAAAAGACAAAAAATATACACACGATTCACATAGGTGACTGAATAGGTGATTAATAAAATGCTGATTAATTCAACACAGTCACACAAACTAGTATTATTGGTTGCATTTAAATTTGTTTTTATGAACCCAGAGATGCACTGATTTCACCTGGTGTCTACAGTCATGACTTGGCTGCTCAGCTGATGAAAAAAAATTAGGTTTTTTTTTCCCCTAGCAGCAGCATGAAACCCTGATGGTTTTTTATACAATTGATATTCAGCTGACACTGAAATGATCATGTTTATTTTAACAAATTTATCTGCGGTTGATTGTCTTTTGCATTTACAAGAAGTAAAGGGAAAACTTGGATTTCCTGTGTTTCTTTAAAATAAATAAATGTAAGTTACAAAATATCATTTCCTGAGCCAATTTTCGGGCATAATGTAATAGAAAAGTGTCGGAGTCCACTTAATCCATGGTTGGCTGTGAATTAGATTCCAAGGCAAAGTAATTTAAAAAGCAGAAGCCATTTCATTAGGACTTTCTTGCGGGACTATTAATATCACCTGTATTACTTCAAGTATTAAAACTCCAACAACGGAATCTTTAATCTTGATTACTTGTGCCCCAATCTTCACATTATTTTTGTTATTTAACAGTAATGGTTTTACTCTGTAAGCTTGTAACTTGATGGAAGTACAGCTGCACTATTGCAGGTAAAATGTTTGTGGAGATCAGTGGATTTTTTGGGAAGGAATTTATAATGAAATCCTGATTGGGGGGGGGGGAGAGAGTCGGTCACTTGATGTTTAAAAAGCATTACATGTATAACACAAGGAACTGTACCCAGATACAATCTTACATCTAGCTTCATCCATCATCCACACATGATGAAGTGTACACATCTTGAAAAATGCAAGGCAGAAAAATAGACATTGCACCGTAAAGGTGAATTTTAAATACACTATTTACACAGTGAGCTGCTTATCGGAAAAAAAAGTAATAAAGTGTCCAATTTCTGAGTAAAATTTGCAGTGGTGAGCAAAATTCCAAGCATCAGGAATATATTAATTAGTGTTTTTTTTCTTTTTGTAGTAGAATGTTCATGTCAATTCTTCAATCTGTATAGTGGAATCCGGTGACCAGAATTAGAAGCTTTTACTGCGGTGGTGTCACTCTCACACGCATGCTGCATGCGTTCTTCAAGACATGGCACGCGCACATTTCAGTATTCCTATTGGTCGAATGCACCCGAAGAGCATGCGCCCTACCTGAGCGCGACTCGCACAAGCCTTGCGCCACCGCAGAAAATGGCTGCCGCCGGAGTAGTCTATACAATTTTGAATGAACGCTTAAGACTTAGAATTACATGTAGTTATGCAACCGTGCTAAAGATATGATTCCAAACAGTCGACCAGAAAGAGAAGTCTAACCATCATTTGTTGAAGTGAACTGTGTCAAAATATGATTGACCAAAGTTTGCACTCAAAACTTGCTTCCAGCTTAACAATGTAGAAACTACCCTCACAGTTAACCATTAACACTAGGCGACTCAGCAATAACACTCAGCAGACGACACAAGTCGCACCCGGCCGTTTCTGTGTCTGCTTGCGTTGTCCTGCGGTGTTGCTCTCCTGATGTTCCTGTTGAAGACAGTACCCAGTATCAAATCAAGTGTTAGAACAATGCAATCCTTCACTTTATAACACTGTTACTTAAAGGCAGAGATAGAGTGAAATTATGATCAGACAGCAGACATTTACTGACCAATTACCATGTTTGTCTTAAAGGTAGAGTCCATCATTTGCAGCCATCCGAAAAGTAACTGGCGTAATTATTGTTGAAAAACTAACTTGGTTGAAAGATAGTAAGGAGACTAAACTCCCTGTGAAATTATTCTTTCTGGGAAGCTGTCATTTTGAAGTTATCAACGAAAGAAGGCATTTCCAACGGTGATTCTTAAGAAGCACCGTAGGAAAATTTAAATTAGTAGTTCGTTTTGTTATTCAGCGCAGCGCGCACAAGTATTCGAACGACGCACACGCGCGCGCGGTTGTTATAATTCGTCGGATCAGTGCGCGACGTCGCGCGTATAGTTGCAATTCAAAACAATTCATAACATGATTCAGCAACTTTTGATTTGAAATTGAGATCTTAGAATGCTGTTTTTCTCGGAATGTACAGATGAAGCTTAGCTGAAACTTCATCAGGTTAGTTGCTCAGTATCCTTCATTAGATTTTGAACTCTTTTGTTGCTTCAAACGAACAAAATGCACAAATTACAAATGATGGACTCTACCTTTAACAAACTTGTAATTGCATTCAACATACTTGTGACTGCTCAAAAACTGATAGCGCTTACTGTTTTGTTTTGGGCCTAAAAGTACATATTTATATAAATTTAACCTACATTGCAACTTTCATCAAATTCATTGTACACAATCATTTTGATTAAAGTAATTTTATTTAGCAAAACAAAAGTCTCTTAATGAAGGTGAAAGATGTGTATAGTCAAAATGTCGCCTGTGGTTCATATAGGAATAAATATGAACTGAAGATTTTCATGCATGAAACGTGTTCTATAATTCTGTTGCATTAATTGCCATGGTGTCTCATCACTAAAATATGCGTCACATGATAGCCACATGATTTGATGCTTGTCACATAATGGTCACATGATTTGATGCCTAACTTGAACTCACCACAAAATCCATATCTTCTATATCTTCAAGTTCTGAAAATCCTTGCCTCTGTAATGGACAACAAAGGGTACTTACAAATATGAAAACTGAAGGTGAATGCCTTTTTCAAGGATACAATGAACCATCATGAGTATTCATCACACTAATTTTACCAACATTCATACCCCTACACAGATTATATTTATGGCCAATCAAATTTCAGACATTAAATTCAGAGATCACAAATAAGAGAAAACCCCAACGAGCAATTTTGTTGGGTTTTTATTTAAATTTTTCAATATTTTTTTTATGTCGTGCAGTATCAGAACACCCCCCCCCCCCAAAAAAACAATTCTCTGAAAATAGTAATTTATTCACAAAGAGAGCTGCAATAAATTAGATGTACCATTCACTCTTTTATAGGGCAGTTGTTAGAAGCAAATTGAGGATAAAAATAAAAATAAAGTGCCATTTATAGACGAACCTTTGCAAGCCCCTGACGTTCTTGTGAGTTTTCATTGCATGAGTTTGCATCCTGTACGAGTAAAAAAAAATAATAATTCAATTTTCAATGTAATTCTCCAGCTATAGGTAACTCCAGGTATAGGTAACCTATTTTGTGCCAGAAAATTCGAATACTTCACTTACTGGAGTCGCCTCTTGCCTCTTTATTTCCTGGTCTATTAAATTGACTATGTCGTCTTGGTTCAGTCGCTCTGCGTAGCTTCTTGCTGTATCTTCTGTTGTCTGATCTGAAAACTGCACAAGGATTGATAATCAATTTAGCCTCATACCATGCCATGACAATAGTGGTAGCTTCTCTCAAGAAAAAATGGGTAAAAAGAATTTCAATTTTTTATTAGAGGGAAATGGTTACATTTGGCAAATATTCAATTTTTTTCAATTCTGGAGTGCAAAATGTTCATAATTATTTTGGTTCAGTCGCACAGCATGGTGTCATGCTTTATCTTCAGTCATCTGGTCTGGAAACTGCACATCCAAATGTGAATCAGTTGTGCATTCTCCCAAATTTTTACTATTCAACACAGAGGTAAAAGTTTTTGGAAATAAGAGCAACTACAGTCAATACATTTATTTGTCAGAGAAATTGTGAAGATCTTCCGTTTTACTTTTTCTAAATCCTGAAATTCGATGTATAATGTGATACAATTTTGTAGGTATCACATGCTTTAATGATATTACTAGAAGGTGATGATTTCCACTGGCTAACCAGCACCCCTTCTTGTTATCTTAAAATAAGCTCAACTATATTTGTCAAAGTTCAATAATTTCATTCTGCATGAGTCAATTAAGTTAATGTGAACTTACAGCGACAGTAAAATGTAGATCTATACCTCCGCGGATTAGCGTGTTTGCTACGTCTACATGCCCCTTCCCAAGGGCGTGGAAAAGGAGGTTCATTTGTGGGGAATCATCACCTTCCTGCAAAAGCAATATGAAAATGACATATTGTAATAAAATCAGAGTTTTAAAAATTCTATTTTTAGTTTGTTTAAATTAAATAGAAGAATCCAAAAAACACGCCCGAGAAAGTCAAGTGTTAGCCTAGTTGTTACTTCCTTGTCTTCCGTCATAGTGACCCAGATTAATCTTTTCTGGGTCAGGATTTGGTTTTCAGTTCCTATTGGATTCCGTGGAGATAGGATACAAAACTTTTTCTTGAATATTCCGACTGAATGCCAATGTACATAATAAATGAATAATACCTACCTTATGGAGCAGGTTGATGCTTGCACCATTCCTCACTGCTTCTTGGACACTGCTTGAGTTGCCTTCCTCAACTGCTGCAAGTAACCTCTGCAAAATACAAAATACATGTATAATCAAACAAACAAAAATAACACTTATCTCAATCTCCAACTGCCCTAAATCATCTTATACACGTACAGTGGAACGCCGCTATAACGAACATCTCGGGATCCACAGAAATTGTTCGTAATAGCGATCGTTCGATAAAAGCCCTGTCCGCACTGGACTTTTTTTGGTCAAACTAACCGAGACTATGGGTACTTTTCCCATTTTAAGTCCAATGCGGACAGCCTAGGACGTTTTCCTCTCGGTTACTTTTCCTGAGTCCAGCGGTTACTTTTACTGGCCAACTGCTGCCCAGGAAAACTTCCCACGCGCCCAGGAAAACTGACCAGGTCACTTTTCCCGAGACGATAAGTCCAGTGCGGACAGTGCGAGTCGGTAAAACCGGCTCAGGAAAGCGTACATCCGGCCCGAGCGCCCTGTTATGCATACAGAGACCGCACGAACCTGCACGTGCAGTGGCCGAACATTTTGTAGAAACACGCTGCGGTGTATCATCAAGTCCGAGCGGTAAAATCTCGTTAAAATATATATTTCAACGGACAAATATATACACAGAGAAGAGAGATCACGTTCTGAGAATTAATTTGCGGAAATTCTCTTTCTCCACCGATGTATGTTATTTTCTACGATCCAAATTCGTCCTGATACGCTACTGTAGTCATGCACAGAACAACATGGTCCGGTACCGTACGTAGGCCGTAGTCGATTCTGTAAGCATGCGATGGGAACCAACGAATACTGATGGCACTGCTGCCGCACGGAACATCGTACAGCGGGAAGGCTTCGACGACGTGCATCACAAATGCATCAGAATTATAGGCCTTTTCGTCAAGATTTAGCGTGTCAAGATGAAATAATATCGTGTAAACGATTATGTTGTGCATGAAAATGGCGTGTGTAATATTACTGTGCGTATCGGCGGCTGAAAATGTGATCGGCAATTTGTTTTCTGTGTACGGTGAGTCATTATACTGACACTGTAACAGCTCGGTTACTTCTCCCACGCGGTGTGGGTAAATTTTCCCGTGTCGAAAGTCCAAGTGCGGACAGTGGTCACATTTGACCATTTCTCATTTTACCATCGTCTCGGTAAAACCTTCCAAAAAAAAAGTCCAGTGCGGACACGGCTAAAACGATTTTAAGGTGTCGGTGCTCCGGTACTCACTTGCCAATAAACAGTGCCCAGAACTTCACCCTGCACACCGGCCCTGGTACTTACTAATAGACGACTTTGAACACGTGCCGACTATTGAATTATGTAATTACACAGTTTTTGAGCTTACTTCCTACAGCAATGAGTGGCTTTCCCCTTCTTTTTCTTGAGGAAATAATAGCTACTTGTCACTCTTCTGTTGTCACTTGTCACAACAATGTTGAGTATAGCCGAATGTTCGGTATAGTAGTGTTCGGTATAGCGAAGTTCCACTGTTAGTTGATTCCATTTATACATTTTCTAGTGAGGTAGGTTTAGATGGAATCAAAAAGATGGCATCAAAAAGAATTACCAGTAATCAAGTTCGTTACATTAACTATGTTACAGAAAACACAATCCTAGTTCCAGACTGCATTTAGTTTTCACGAGTATCACCTCAAACTAAAACATATTTTCAACCTAACATTGCGTCAAATATTTTACTCGCAATATATTTATGTGCATGCCTATATTTATTCCAATAACATGAATAAAGAGCATGGTTATTAAAAATCCTTCTTTGTCATTTGTACAAGGGTGGGTTTTTATATTATTGGCAATTTTGGATCAATTTCAGTACATTCTCCTCACTGGCCAAAGCATTCTATTTCTTGGAAAAGACCACAATTATAGGGAAGGAACTAAGTGGGCTGGCCCAAGGTTTTAAAGTAAAACCCCGCAAGTGGAATTACACCATGAAAATTGAAGTTTTCCATTCCTTCTGATATTTCTGTACCTGATTAGCTTGCACCTTTTTCTCAATCACTGCAACCAGTGATGTCATCTCCCTCTCCTTGGGGATATCCAGAACCGTCAACTCACGCTTATTCACCTGTTTACAATGGAGTGTAATTTAGAGAGTCTATAAGTACTACATTTTTTTTCCAAAAAAAAGATAATCTGTTAATAAAGGGTTACTTTGCAAATTATTTTCAGATTATTAAAAAGATAATCTGAAAATAAAGGGTTACTTTGCTAAAACATTTCAACTACCGGTAAATAAATTTGAATTCAATATTATTGGATTTTACCCTTCACTGACATAATTTCATAAACACTGTAAATCCCAATATTGAATTTAATTAGATCTCCCGAATGCAAAATTCCACCATATCAGTAACAAATTTGGAAAGCATCATTGTGGTTGCATCTTTGAGCAAGGTCCTTTATCAGCCTTCTGTTAATATTTTGCTTCCACCCAAGCAGTTATGGATAAATAATAAGAAGTACAGATGTCAAAACAAAAGCTAGAAATCTTCTTTTACCTAGTCAGTTTGCACAGTGGTAAAAGCCACAACCAGGCAGGAACATCACTTGATAGTTGTTGCTAAGAATATTTTTTTCTGTGCTAAACACATCTGTGTTCAGTTGCATGAAGTCGGCCAGGGCTTCAATTATTTAAAAAAACAATTGTACCATGACCAACCTCAAATACAATGAAAGCAAAAAATGCGCAGTTTGTGCTTTACAAATAGATCCTTTTATGGGCCCTTTTGATGATTTTACTGCCTATTGTTGGTTCAACCAAACCATGACACGGGACACTGCACAAAAATTGAAATGGCTTTAATTTGAGGAATGGGGATTATATTCAGCCAAAACATCAGGAGCAATAACAATTTTTAAAGTGTTGCAACTGGAAAAAGGCATTGCAAAAAAATTAAAATGGCGCAAATGATCACAGCAAGATCACAATAATTCCAAGGTGTTGAATGGCGCCGCTATCTTTAAGATGCACTAGTTAACAGAGTAACTTTTATTAGGAAATAATTCTAATTTGAAGACTTACCATAACTGTAGCACTAAGATCTGCTCCTCTGTTAATAAGGAGTCTTGCTACATCTGAGAAGTTCTTCTCCACTGCCATAATCAGCAGTGTGCGCTTTGAGAGATAGCCACCTTCGCTTTCATTCACATCAGCTCCTTTGTTCAGGAGGGCTTCAACTTCTAATAGGTCTCCCCGGTTCACCGCCTCGATGACCGACTGGGAAATATAAAGAACAAGGAAGTATAAAAATAGTTTGTCGACAAACAATTTTTATGGGTATATTTAGCCCTATACCTTTACCGTAATCATCTGACCGTATCTTATAACTCAATGACAATTGTCATTGAGTTATAAGATACGGTCATATGATTACGGTAAAGGTATAGGGCTAAAAATACCCATTGACCATTGATGGATATTGTCCAGTCTTGTGCTTCAAACTTGGCTGGTGGTCTGGTGGGATATATTGTTGTATGAGTGATCATTTACTTACATGTACATCAAATCTTCCATTTGAAATCTCATTTGTCAAAGTCAAATGTTAATCTTTATAAGCGGTCATCTTTATTACAATGTCTGTTCATAATCTTAGTGAATATTTAATTTATATAGTATCTTGGTTAATTTTTATATATTTTTATTTGTTTGCTTTAACCTTCCCAAAAGAAAGGTTGACGTGAAATCAACTGAAATTCAACATTTGTTAGTACTTCTTGTTTTGGAAAAGAAGATTTAACCTATTTCAATTCATTAATATGACATGCATTTTGACTTTAATTGATTCCAACAAATGCTGACTATTGAAATAACAAATGAAAAAAAAACGTAATTGACTTGTGCACTTGTCTTACCTCCCTCAGCTTCTGTCGTAAGCTCCAGTGGCTCATGGCTCAATTTGAGGGCTGCCACTTTTCACTTTCAAATTTCACAGTATTAGCTGGCTGTCACTGGTAGGGAGACAAAGAAAATTCACTTTAGCATTTAAGTTTTAAACTATATTAAAGCTCTGTTCAGTGAATACACCAGACCTAGACAGCAGTTACCTGTAGAAACAAAAATATACAAAATAAGGGGTCATCTTTACTCATTCTTCAGTCATTATCCCCCAAGGAAAAAATGTTGCACCCTGACTCAAGATTTGTTTTCATATTATTATATTATCAAAATGAAGGTCAGTCAATGCAAAAATATTGAAACAACATGAATCTGAGAGTAGACTGGGACTGAGAAACATTTCCAATTTTTGTTAGAAAATACTTTGAAATGCACTCAACTCTCCACAGACTTTGTACACAACCAGCTTTGATCACAGCATAGGATTTATTTATAGCACGGTCCTTTTATCCATGAAAAGAATATACCACCTTGTGCAGGTGATCGTGTCCTGGGGTGGAGATTTAGACTCTTCAAAAGTGAATGGGTAGACCAGGGGTGGATATTTTGAGCCCTTCTTTAGACCTTTTTAACAGACAGATGCCACACCAGAAATGTGCAGTGAAATTATATGTTGCACTGCCGCATTCTGCAACAATTCAATTCAATTGACCCACAATATACAGTAGCGTATTTACTAAACCATTGAGCATGGAACTAAAAATGCACCCCATTCTATTGCCAGAAAGACACTGCCACCAGCATACTTAGAAAGGCACCAGAATGGGGCTAAAGAAGGTCCTAATTCAGTTTTGGAAAATATGCACAAATATAACTATGAGACATCACCTGGATTCACCCACCCTGTTTATGCATGCATAGTCTCGTCAAACCACCTCCATGATCAATCTAAACGCTGCCACATTTTATGTCATGCTCCGATGTGTTTTATTTCTCCATGAACTCCGCTTTGTACACTATAACATGCAGGCCATTTACTTGGCTCCGAGGCCATAGAGCGACTTGCGCACGTGCGTACGCGTATAGGCCTACGTGACAAGTGTCATAAACAAAAATCCCATTGGCATTGTAATTTGTAAACAGCATGGACATAATGGAGATGTCCCACCAGTACCTGTATAATGAGCTTGAATGTCTGCAGTTATAGATCTCGAAGGCGTAATACTAAAATAGCAGGGATAGTACATGTACTAGATTGCATTCCATAATCGTCAAGTCTCGCATTGTACTGATAGGCCTATGAGTATGATGACAAGTGTACACAGGTGCTTTACAAGCGCGCCGCTAAGTACTACCGGTAAACTTGATGTAGTCCTTCGATGAGAGGACCAAACAATTGCTGCCTCAACTCCACCACGTACCTCGCGGTATTCCCATTCCCCAACCTTTCTAAAATCTTGAGTGATCGGGGCTATCTTTTTTTAAGAGAACCTGCATGGAGCTATATAAAAAAAAATTCGTTTACTTTAAGAATATTACTCACGACTGACTGAGGATTGATCATCCGTCTGTGGGCTGGGATACGGACACCTAGTACCTGCAGACCACCTGCAGGTCCGGTGTTAATCCATTAATAACTGAATAAGGGTGCGCATAAAATCCCCCTCACACCGATAATCCGCTTTTAAAGTATCACTCGTGATCGTTCATCGTCATAAAGATAACACAAAGCCACAAAATTAAATTACCGTTATATCACAGTGCAGTGCTTACGTGCTTCAGTGCATACGAAGTGAACCTTGTTATAAAAATCTAGTAGGCCTACAAGTAGAAGATAGAATCCACAGTCTCGGATTAAAACAAGTCTTTATATAACTTATAAGTTCAAAATTTTGGGGGAAACTGCGATCTGCAAGGAAGCCTACCTCCATGTGACTATACTACTAACCATGATCCCTCTCAAAAATCGCAAAGAAAATGATGATATAAAACAAATTGCTGTCAGGTCGGCAACAATAATCATATGGGGAACTTGGAGAACAGATTTTCAAACAATATGTAAAGTCTGTAAACTTTTGGGAACATTTAGCAGTCAGCTATTGAATTTCTCCTGTAGATTGAAGAACAGCCTTCTTGGCATTTAGGAAAATTTCATTTACTGATTCGCCACATGCCGGCTGAAAAATGTATCATGGAAATCTAATTATTTACGAAAAACACTCACGGACTCCAGAGATGATGTTGTATATCACAATAAATTCCTGAAGCGTCTAAATATCAGTCCGGGTTTTCCATCCAATGTCCACGCGACTTTACGAATGCGAAATTATTGTGGCCAAGAATGAAAAGTAGCCTCTGATTTAATCACGGATGATAGCAACACCGTTTGGGTGTGATTCTATTTCTAGTTGAAATAAACATGTCCGTGTAAAGGCCTTCATGCGCAAGCTAGCATAAGATCTAACATATTGGTTTATTACCTTTCAGGGAAAAAAATCTTCCTCCTTGATGCACTTATCCAGCTTGGTAAGGTCCTCCGACTGACGTCCGAGATGGAGTAACTACTGACGCATGTATTACACTCACAGCTGTGTGCTGGGGGGCTACGTGACTTGTCTTAGGGGCCGGGCAACGAGCAATTATTGTTCAAACAAGCGTGCGATGCATTTTCCAAGCACCACTGAGGAACCATTGTGTATCTCCACGTAATGTGCCACACAGGTAACAATAGCTTTGCGGCAAAACACACGGTAAATATTCGTCTGTTGTAAAATGGCTATGGCCGGTGTGTATTGATTCAACGCAGTTGCCACAACATCAATAAATACGTCTATTGATATCGGAGCCAACAAAAGACTAAGCTGTCAACCTGAAAAGGAGCTTTGGACAGACTTGGTGAACTGCGAGCTACCTATTGCATGAGCTATAGCTAGTCTGAGTATCACCCGTTGTCCACGGAGCCTCTCTGTCTTGCTGCGCAGGGGTCTACTATAGCCGGCCGCAGCCCAGTCGGTGACGGGAATTGGGGAAAATAATCTGGATCCCAGATCAGTGTCTGGAACAACTTGTGTCACTGTGTGCCGTCAGTGTTCTTTGAGAGATACAGGGAAGTGGCTGGGCCTCACGGTAGCCGATGCACTTTGTCACCCTCCTTCCCTGTTTTAGCCCCGCCCCCATTTCTTCGAAAATCCTGATTCCGAATACATAATGTACCGACTTTACCCTCCTTCAAAATAAATGTGTTGTGGATCCGCCCAGCAAACCAGTTTCACAGACCATGGACAGAATACAATTTTTCTAAAATGATTTTATTCTTTTGTACAAGTGACCCACACAAAATATAAACAAAACTTTTTTTAATGCCCAGGAAGCAGGAACTAAAATAGGTTGAAACGTCGGAGCCATTGTAGGCCTAGGCCTACAAAGTTAGGGCCTATATACATAATATTCAAGCTTCAATTAATTCCAAGAAACAAAACATATAATTTTCAAGTACAAAGTCGTTTTTTTTTAAAACACTATACGAGATTTACAAAGAAACCCATTCCACGGATTTCCGTAGCTATAAACATGTCGGTCATCAAGTTCTTGACTTATTTTATTTCCTCCCATTTTCCCCCCTTTTATTTACTCAAAAGTACTATCGAACTGAATATGAGAAGTTGACTTTTTCAACCAAACTATACACGGGACCTGTTATGAGAAAAATGTTTCAACCCTGTCCCTAATGTAGACGTGTCCAATGGCATATCTTGTCTAGCGGAATTGTCCCATTCGCCGGTCGATCAGCTCCACAATGTCCGGTAGGTTATAGAACTCGGCATAGTCTCTCGCTGTCTCCTGCATGGATCTTGTTGGGCCTCGCGGAGAGCTCGTTTTCTAACAGAAAAAAAGACAGAAAGATGTGCTAAAATGTTCTTTTTCACACGCAGTGACCTACTGCAGCCACAGTGCTGTATACATAAAAATTCTTTTTTAACTATAATAAAATAATTGAGGCATTACTTTTTGGGGTTTTTAAAATTGAAATCAGCGCTTGACTTGTTATGCTCCAGTAAAGTTTTGAGTAGGCCCCCTATGCTTATAAGGATATAATAAACGGTATGTTATAGAAAACAAGCCAAGATAGAAAAAAAATAACATCAGAGAAGTGTTCTCCTCTCCCCCCCCCCCCCCCCTTCCAAAAAAAGCTTTACCTGGTTAATTTCTACCATCAGACTTGATATTCCTTTCCAAATATTATAGACAAACTTATGTCTTGGTAGGATTAAGTACCCTTCCCAATTACCTCCACCTCCTAAGGCTCATATCCCTTTGCCCCGCCCCCGATCAACCCCCTTCAACGCACCTCGTAATGATAGCCGAGGTCGACACCTTGCTCAATCAGATACTCGGCAACAGGTGAATGACGACATCGAATAGCTCTCATCAACACCGACTCCATACCCCACTGCGTGCACAAAGATGAAAACAATTAGATGTTTACACCACTCACAAAATAATTCATGTGCAGTCATGAAAAGAATAGTGACAATGAAATATAAACATTGGAGACTGAAAAGAAAAAATAAATGGACCAGCAGTACAGGGACTTGTTGAAAAACTGTGTTTTCAAAATGCAAGTCTGTCGATTATAAATACTGTATACAGAAACAAACTGACAATTAAATGCTTAATTTTATTTATTTAATTGTGACCGTGATTGTGTTTATATAATAGGCAAACTTTTCAATTATACGGACCGGTATTTCGTTGATATTGGCTCCCTGTTTGACGGCAAGTTGAACATTGAGCAGGTCGCCTTGTTCTACTGCAATCAATAGTTGCTGTAACAAGAGAAAAACAAAACTTTAGTGTAATATTATGAAGAAACAACTACGACGGTGCAAACCGAAATCGTCGCATATTTCACAACTTCATAATGATCCATGTGTCTGTCTCGATACTTTACTATACCCGATACACTTGATTTGTATTTATTGAGCAAATAGGAATTCCATAATGCCTGACTGATCTGAATTACCTCGTGGATCTGACGCCTGTACATGATTATACCTGCTGGACCCGTCTCTCAATCAGAAGTGATGAGCGAAGCTACATGAGGGGAAAGCCTTCAGAATTCAGCCACAGTTATTCTTGCATCACAGCCTGGGACAAATTCCCTGGCCAAACTATTGAATCATCTATAGCCTCAACCTCAATTAAAATGTTCGAGTTCTGCACTGTAGGATATATGGCTTGAAGCATTAAGTTGTGGAGTTAATCAGTCTAAAACTGCTCATCCTGGATTCATCTGATCAATAAAATCATGCTTCTTTCTTCCAGTGCTGTATTATCCAATCTCTCTCTGTACACCCTCTACATGTATTTATTTTTTGGCTGAACACATAGGGTGTGGAACACGGCCTTTAAATTCAATGGATTATTTGCCTGGATAGGGTTTCAGTAAGTTTTTCCCTCCATTGAAATGCTAACAGCGTCATTGATCCCTGACCCGCCAGCCATGACAACACTGACGCCACGTCTCGGTAGCGCTTAGTGTAGGGCGCACGAGGGCGTACACACGAACACTCGCGTACGCAAGGAGATTTTGGAAGCCCAATACTCGATAAACAAATTTGTGTAGGGGGTGTGCTCCCCTCCGCTTGAAGCTTGTGCCCCCTTCTGTCATTCTCAATGACCTGTGTTTTTTGGGGTGTAGCTTACAAGTCAGGACACAAGTAACATGGTATTTAATGAGCTTGAGATGGGATGGTTGTGATTGACTTATGAATGAAGAGGCCCCCCCCCCCCAAAAAAAATCCCTTAATAATCTCTTGAGATCACAAGTAAATTTGTTTACTGGACTGGAGATGGGACGCACTTGGACGTGAGCACTCGGGAAAAACAACACAACACATGTCCATCCACAATCAACCATAACCACCCCCCCCCCCCCCCCCACACACACACACGTACAAAGAAATCCCCGCAAACTTTCGTTGTATAAGTTATAAATTAAAGGAAAACTCCCCGGTCCATAATTTCAGTCTAAGAAAGTAGAGAATACAGCCACCACACAACGATGCATGGACGGCATGGTGGAGTACACCCAGCACGATATGAGACAAAGGGGTACCAGACCGTACTCCCATCTCCCTATACCCTATACAAATCTAGACTTGCTACCTAACACATGCCCCCTAGATATCTCAAAAGAATTTCTGAGATTCTGGTAACACAATGACCAACACAAAGGGGGAGGGGGGTCCCTCCGTCCCATGTCGAGCTACATAATGTGGTGGAGGCATACGTATGTCACTGAAAAAATTGCCTGGGTTAATTTTACCCAAGAAAGGGTAAAAACTGCCACTACCCAAAATTGGGTTATTCTATAACCAATTGCTTGGGTTAGAATTTCTGTTAAATTCAACCAAAACTTGTGGGCATACAAGACCAAATTTAATTTGGTCTTGTATATATGACTACAACTTTTGTTTGAATTTAACAGAATTTCTAACCCAAACAATTGGTTATAGAACAATCCAATTTTGGGTAGTTGCAGTTTTCACCCTTCCTTCGGAAAAATTAACCCAGGCAATTTTTCAGTGTTATACGATCGTCGTATGGAGTTCGACGTGAACTATAATTGGGGTTTTTCGAAACCTAGGTTCCATCGCCGAATCGGTGTCGGGAATTAAATGTATAGGGGACGATAGGTCGCTGACTTGGGCAACACAGGCTTTATGCGTCCTCTTTCTACTTAAGCATAATAATACTATAATATGAGGGAGGAGGGATAAGTGTGTTCGTATTTTATTTCAACATTTTGGAGAGAAGCCAGAGCCGATGAAACCGCCGCCGGATCGAAGTCGACGTTTAGAAAACACCATGTAAACAACTCCAGTCCAACATGCCAATCAAAACGTTATATTGTTCCACTTCCAACCAATAGGAATCACTCCCGACGCGAGCGCGTGATCAACTCATCGGTGTTATTTCGATATCTATCCTCGTTTAAAGAAAATAGGCCGGACTGTTTTGTCAAAATGCAAGAACATTGTTGTCAAAGGACCAACATTTCTGACTTATTTTGCGAAAATAGTTAAAAATATTTACGATAAATTGAAAGAGTGTTGAAAATATATCGTTTCGTCTGATTTGGTTGGAAAGTCCAGCCGCGTATGAATACATTCTGTAAAACTTGTCATTTTCGTGTAAAATGAATACGTATAGCCTAATCACTCACTTTCGGCTGCTTTCTGCGATTAGCGCGAGCAAATTTTGCATTATTTGTGCTCAAAGTTTGGAACGAATGGACTGCACTCATCTTTTGTCCACACAAAAAGACATTTTTCAGCGGATTCTCTGATTGTACAAAAGTACTTATCTCACCAACTCGAAGGAAATAATGTGTGCAAGACTTCAATGTGGATTCCTGGACTTCTGCTGAGTATTTCTTTGGGGGAGACGAGCTCCAAGTGTGTCTACGGGAGAGTCGGCTCTGCAGACGGCTCACGGCGTTGGCCACGGCCGGGTTTCCACATTGCCTTGCCGTGCCCTTCGGAATTCTCTCCACTCCAGGTTTGGCACTCACTCCTCGGACTTCCTGCGTTGCATGTGTCGTGAGTTAAACTTTATATGGAACAGAAACTGTAGCTAAAATTCCAGCGAACTTTTTGGAAAATGAACCACGGCCGGCATGGTCGGGGTTCCAGCCTGTACTAGACTGCTCCTTTGAAATTCGCAGCACTCCAAGTTCGTCCACGGCATTGTACATGTTGTGAGTGAAAGTTAGTACAGAACAAAAACTTTAACTAAGCCTTTAACGAACTTTGTGAAAAATGAACCAAACTGTCTTTAACTCTGAATTTGCATCTGCTTTGCCTGGGACAAAACTAAATTGAGCTCCGAACAGAAGTCTGTAGATGTCAGCGAACTCTGTTTGAATGTTTCAGAGAGCGACGAACACTCAAGAACTGAACCATTATTTTCAAGAAATTAAGATAAACACGAACACACGAAAGTCGAACTGTGAACTGTAAAACAGGGACACATCTGAAACTCCAGTGTCATGGATTTATTGTTGGATGTCTGTGTGGAATTTTCTGTGGAATTTATCGTATGGACAACTGGACAAGTTAAGAATTCGGCATTTGGTAAGTCAAAAACAATTTCTGAGGTAAGCTGATTTTTTTTTAAATTGCAGGAAAATATTGGGAAAGAATTCCATACTGGGCCACCACTCATATTCCTTAATATGACCTGAAAAGTACCAAGAGTTGTAAATCTGATGAAGGAACGCAAAAATTCTTTTATAATACTTTAACTGTTTTGTGTCATGGCCCATAGACTTCGTGCAGGAGGTCTGAGTGGTGGCCCAGTATGGAATTCTTTCCCCTAAATCTCTTATTTTGTGTCGACAATCTCAAATTTTGTAACTCTAACAGTTAAATATGTACTCCAAACCAAGTCCCCCCTTTCAAGTTAAACTTGAATGAGTGCATTGTAGGCTCCATAAACCACATTTCTATGACCACGTGTATTTGACAGAAAAAAAATGTATCCTTGTCATACTTGCTGATGAAAAATTTCCTCTTTATTTACAAAAAGTCATGTCCAGATTTCGAGTATGTAACTGTACCTTTTTACATGTAAAAATAACGGGTTTTGGTTGACAAATTATTCCTATAGTCTCTCCCTTATTATTTAGTTTAGGGAGAGAAATATATTTTCTGTTGCCAAGTGTAATGTTTCAGTCGACATGATTCAATGTATATTACCCCAAAGTTTGCTTTCTTTTGCATTCCAAAATTAATTGCCTCCGAACTTCAAACGCCTATATTTTGTAGCCAGCCAAAATGTTTTTGTGTCGACATGACCCAATGTATTGATTTTTCCCCTGCGTATTGTCCGAAGTCGCTGGAGGGTATATTTGCATATGAAAGAAAGTAACACCTGTGAATTCCTTATAAGGCATTTCTAGCCCCTGCGGTCGTAGTAAACTAGTTGTTTGACCTTTAACCCCAAGTCGGCACGTGCCGGCCGCCGAGGGGCCGTCTAGACCTATTGTTCTGTTCGGTGAAGTTATGTGAGAGGCACACGCCTGTTGTCAGTAAAGAATTTCTCTGGTTGCGTGCATAATTATTTTTGAATTATATTGACAGCTTCTCAACTCGTGTATCGATTCAACTTTGACAGGCAGACTTCAGATTTAATGTTCTTATAGAAACTGGAGATGGTGAACAAAAATCAAGACAAAAACACCCCTTAGACCAAGTCGAATATAAATGAAATTATAGCCTGGTCAACCGAGAACTCCATCACTTTATTTCATCTTCTTCACTTCACAAGAAAACAAATCAGGATATATAGATATTTCTAAAATAACACCAGCTTCTCCTACGAGGCAATCTCTTCCTGATCAAGCATGAAGTATAAACCCAGTTGCAAAAAATGTAATATTCTTCAAATCTGCTGGAAATTTCTCCAAAAGTTCTTCCTTTTCAACAGATATTTTGTCGCAACAATCTCTGACTCGTGGACAACAACAATAACAAGTGACAGTGGTCTAAAGATTTTTAATCTCCTTCAGAAACACAGCTTCTCTTCTTCAAACAAAGATAATTTTTCGGCTAAGCCTGCAAGAGAAATTACAGAACCAACCAAGGAATGTGATGTTTAGAACTTCCACTTTAATCTCCTTTAAATGTGCACCATGTCTTCTTCGTCTTGAATGTAAACTGTTGAACAACACCAAGTGCTGTCTACAAGAAATTTTGTCAAATGTGACGCTTTGTGCCATGTCAACTCACCCATGTTTTGTTGAGACTCTGTTGGTCATGGTGGGGACGGGTCATAATGTGCTCAACCGGTTTTTTTTGTAGATAAATACACAAAATAAACTGAGTAGGTATGTTTCACAACATAACACATTTTAACAGACACCAGTTAAACAAATGCACTAATAAATGTAATTAATATAAATTTATGTTACTCAAAAAATAAGGCATAGGATGGGGTCGGGGTAGATTGTGGGAAATTTACTGCAGCACGGCGGAACGCAAAGCGTTTAGGCAAAAAGCTTGGACAAGCGCTTGCATATAAGTGAGTTTGTGAGTATCCGAGTATTGAGGTTGAGTGTGTATGTCTCTCGTGTGAGTGAGTTCTGAGTGAGTAAATTCCTGTGAATGAATGAGTGACAAATTGTCATTGTTGAGAGATGTGCCGGTGACTTGCCCGTTTCCGATAAATATTTGGAAACGAGTATTCGGAATCGGAAACTCGTATTCGGACGCGCACGTCACTGAGTAGGCCTACTCAGTCTTCGGTTTCGGTAAACCGTAGCGGTATGAAAGTATCGACTCAATTATTCGATTCGATACTGAGATTCGTGTCTGTGAGAAAGTGTGAGTCTGAATTGATGAGCCAGTGAGGATAATCGTGAATGATGAGTGATGAGAAAGAGAGTCGAGTATCGATTCGAGCATTCGATTCGATACTGAGACTAAGTCTGTAAAAGAAGTGTGA